GACAAGGCTAACAAAATGGATACACTCCTAGCTAGGACGCTACGGCCCAGGCAACACAGACCCCATATCACAGCCATCAAACACCCTGACGGCTCGACGAAAACGAAACCGGCCGACATCGTAAAGGTCTTCGAAGATTTCTACAGACACCTGTACAACCACACGCCGGACGGACACGCGCAGGAGGGACTAGGGGAACACGACATCCTGCTATATCTGGACAGTCTAGGTCTCACCAAATTATCAGAGGAGGCAGCGGCGACCCTAGCTGAGGAAATCAGCGTAGAGGAGGTCGACAGGGCGATATCGAGTTTGAAAGGAAACAAGGCGCCAGGCCCAGACGGGTTCGACGGGTCTTACTATAAGACTTTCCAGGAGGAACTCGCACCTCAACTAGTCGCACTCTGCAACCACTTGCGACAGGGGGAGCGATTGGGGCCAGAGATGGCTTTGGCCACGATCGTCCTCCTCCCCAAACCGGAGAAAGACGCACTTCTTCCAGAAAACTACAGGCCTATATCTCTGATCAATCATGACTTAAAGATCTTAGCCAAGATTCAGGCGGACAGACTAAACCCGCATCTGACCTCCCTTATCCACGCAGACCAAGTAGGCTTCATTCAAGGCCGGCAACTGTTCGAAAATACCAGACGGACTATCGACTTGATCTGGAAACAGGTAACAACTAGAACCCCATCCCTGGTTATATCTATTGACGCCGAAAAAGCCTTCGATAGGGTAAGGTGGAAGTTCTTGTTCTCGGTAATGAAGCACCTTGGATTCCCGGACGAATACATGCAAGTTACGAAAGCAATGTATCATGATGTAAGGGCACAGATACAGATAGCAGGGGCCCCAATGAACCCTTTCCAATTACACAATGGGACCAGACAGGGGTGTCCCCTTTCCCCCCTCCTCTTCGTCCTGGCAATGGAACCCCTACTTCAGGCTATACGCAGGCACCCAAATATCAGCGGAGTCACGGTGGGGGGAGAGGAATTCACCGTTTCTGCCTATGCTGACGACGTCCTTCTCACTGTGACGAACCCACTCGAGTCCATAGCCACACTGCAAAACGTCATACATGAATACGGAGCCCTGTCCGGATATAAGGCCAACATCCAGAAATCTGGGGCAATGCCTATAGGCCTACCAGCGACCGAAGTAGCCCTGATAAAGGAAAAGTACCAACTGCGGATAGAACCGAACTCCTTAAAATATCTCGGAGTCCATTTGACGGCAGTTCCGGATCGACTATATACGAGCAACTACGAACCGATGCTACGGACCCTAATGGGAGACCTAGAAAAATGGGCGGATAAACCTATATCCTGGCTGGGGCGTATTCACTCCGTAAAGATGAATATCCTACCGCGCATACTGTTTCTCTTCCAAGCCCTTCCTATTCGCGTTACGAAATCCCAACTGCTGCCACTACAGAAAGCGATCTGCAACTTCGTATGGCATAACAAGAGACACAGAATAGCCAGACAGATTCTGTATAGGCGAAAGGACAGAGGGGGACTGGGGCTTCCAAGCCTATACTACTACTATCTGGCGGCCCAACTCTCACAGGTAGCCATGTGGCACTCCCCTGTGGGAGAAAGGAGATGGGTGGAAATCGAATCAATGATGGTAGGCTTGGACGTTCCCCAATTTACGATATGGGTCCCGAAAGAACACAGACCCATGATAAGGGTGACGTGCCCAGCCATCCTTAACTCTCTTCGACTATGGGATACGAACGGGGCCAAGTTTGGACTCGTTCATCTCCCTCCCCTATGACCCCGATACTCAGAAATAGAGAATTTCCACCCGGAATGGCCCCTAGGAACTTTCGGAATATAGAAAAGACAGGGTTACAGCGGTTCTATCAGCTATACAGAGAAGGAGAGGTCATACCTTTTCAGGAACTCCAACAACATACCCACCTGACCCCAGCAGATAACTTTCGATATCTCCAGATAAGGGACTTCGCTAGAAGACCCCATATCAAAACCGCAGCCCAAGGTCAGTTTACTTTTTACGAGAGGCTATGCAGAGAGGGATGCACCCCTAAAGGAATGATTACGCTGCTGTATACCCATCTTAGCACGGAGACTAAAGAATGGGGAAGTCTGAAATACACTGACAGATGGGAGTCGGACCTGGGGGAGGAACTGGAAGGAGTTGAATGGCAGGAGATATGGGAGGCAACCAAGAGCGCTTCGATTTGCGTCACACAACAGGAACAGGCATGGAAAACCTTGCTCAGATGGTATACTACTCCGATAACGTTACACAAAATGCACAAGAGAGATACTGACGAATGCTGGAGAGGTTGCGGATTCAGAGGCACGTATCTCCACATGTGGTGGGAATGCCCGAAAATCCGTGGATTCTGGAAGTCTGTTGAAGACCTCTTGAAGCGGACGTTTGGCAAACCTCTGGATTTGGACCCATGGATCTACCTCTTAAATAGATCTATAGAGGGATGGACGAGAAGAGAGCAGAAACTAGTACGGGCGATAACCCTAAGCGCACGTAGAACTGTTGCAACGACGTGGCTGTCACCTGAAGGGCCGGAGTTTAGGGGAGTAATCTCTAGAATAAAGGAAACCAGAATTATGGAAGACCTGACTGCTAGACTAAGAGGAACAACTCTAACTTTCCAGAAGGTTTGGGAACCATGGGACAACAGTCCCATGGGCTCGGATCATGACTGAAGGGCCAAGTGGACAGCCCAATTTGGGACCAGACACTGCTGGGTCAGAGCAGGAGTGAAGTGCCCCAACCTCGTCCGCCTCCCCCCCCTCTCCTCCCCCATCCCCCCACCCCACACACTCATATCTTCCTTCCTCTTCTCTACCCTTCTTGCTCATCTCATCTTCTCCTCTCTCTCTAAATCTATCTTTCCCACGTTCTCTACTTCTTGGTACAGAAACCTTGGCCTACAAGGATACCCTCTATCTTTTTTTTCTTTTCTTTTCTACTAATTCTTAACTTCTATAAGGCTGACATTGTCCCACTCCAAGGAGACATAACTAACTTCCCTCATTTAGACGTGAGCGCGCTAATGGAGGATGGAAGATGTCTAAAGTACACCCAGACGCGGCTAGAGTTAGGGCTCACCCTCAGGAGGCAGGATCAGACTTAATGATACATTACCAATAACAAGAGGTCAGTAGAATAGCACCCATTGAGAGGCCTGTCCTCGGGACCAGAACCCACTCCAATTCTCCAAGGTAGAACACTAACGTACAGGCCCCTATACGGGCCTCACAGGCGCACTGCTCACACTATGAATACCGTATGAACACTGGGAAGTTAAGTGTAACAGCCAATAAAAACATAAAATCCCCGATGGGAGGCAAATTATATAGAAAATGTAAAGAGGCGGGCCACGGAGGCCAAAGTTAACAGTGATGTCTATGAATATGCTTTAATATATTGCGGCTTCTGCGCAAGCCTTCATGTTGATATGTTCTTGCATTGCCTATCGGGCGCAAAAATAAAGAAAAAAAAAAAAAGGCACACACATATGCATGATTATGATTCCACAGTTACTGTGGCAGTGTACACGGTGCCTTGGAACGTCAATAATTTGAAAGCCGGAAAGAAAAGCAAAAAACCCTGCAATTATAAGCCTGCCCCTGGATCATGGCTCTAATTATTGTTGCTTCCTTCAATACAGCTCAAGCTGTCTGGCTTGTGCAAGACTGCTTTTCGCTCCTCCACTCTCATGCTCTGGAGAAAGCCACAAGAAAGAGACACACACACACACACACACGTTTGTTGTGGCTCAGGAGATCACAGCACAATGACCGGTTCACTAAACAGGGAGCCAGGCAGTAAAGGCACTGACCACGGAATGCCTTCAACTTATTGAGCAGTTGCATTATCCTATTTGATGAATGGCCCTGCCAGTCTGTGGCAGTACTAGTCTAGTTTGCAGAGTATGGATCCAAAGTTAGTCCAGGACATCGTATGTTATAAAATCTCATCAGTATCAGCATTACAGAGAAATCGTACTGGGAGGTGGGGGAGAAAAAAAAAAAGCTTAGAGAATGAACCCAATGCCTATTAAGGAGTAGTAAATTGAATCTCTTTTAGGTATCATGGTACACTGAATTATTTCTCTCTGTAGACCAAAGTAATAAGTGTGAAGGCCACAACAACAGTAACAATAAAATAGTCCTTCTATGTACCCAAAAGCCTTAAAGAATCATTGCAAGCACCATGACCTTTACAGTGAATTGCAGTAGTCATGGTGCCTGGAATCTGTATTTCTGGGCCGGCATATGATGGTCAGTCATGAATTGTGACATCCGCAGCTTCCACGGCACTGCAGAAGCTTGAACTGCGTCACCGGACCACCTTCGAAAACCGTCATGGACCTAGGTAAGGGGGCAAACGGTTACTAAATTGTTTGCCCCATTACCAGGGTACTGGGCCCAGCGTACTCCTGGCATCATAACTACTACAGTGGGCTGTAAGAAAGAACACATTAAGGGTTGAAGGGACCATAAAGCCAAAAATACATCAACAGACACTTTTAACAACAGTGATAAAGACACTAGTGGAAACTACAATCACCCTTGTTACATACATATTTATTCCACTGTTTAGAAGTGTATACAAACACAAAACATCACAAATGTACAATACAAACAAAACAACCTTTCTGACCCGACATAGTTCACAGAAGTTAGGCTCATTCACTGGACTAAGCTGGTAATCTCTGCACAGCAATGTGTAACTAATGAAAGATTATCCAGTTCTGTATTCAAAGCACCATACGAAAAGAGGATTTAATTTGAGAAGCCTCCAAAATAAAAATCAAGCAATCTCCAATTTTCTTTTTTTTTTTTTCTTCGCAGTATGGGAAGTTACTTACCACTATATGTACTCCTGAAACGCTGACTGACAAGAACACGCTGCAGCAAGAAAAGTAAACCTGTCAGCTGCCGATCCTGTTGCTGTCAAGGACTTTAGGGACGTACAAGTCACATGCAGAGACTGCCCATTTAATGCCTAGTAGGTGAAAGGTAACCTGGGAAGACAGGGACCAATTACAGGCTGGTCTGGAGATGGTCACCCCACAATGAGAGGGTGGTAGCCCCTATACAATGACACCAGAGTCAGAAAACAACAAGCAGACGACTGGCAGCGACAGACATTCATTCACTGACGCACGCTTCCCACTGGCAAGTAGGCAGTTTAACCCTTTGCTGACAAAAATGCATAGAAACGTTTGGTCAGCATTGCAAACGCCTCCTAAATGTGCAGCAGACAAGATTGAGATGAGGGAAAGATGGGATTTTTTTTTTTTTTTTTTAATTATTGACAAAGATTAAATGAAAAATAAATATTGTGCAATCACACTTTAGATCATTGGAATATCACGCTGGAAAAAAATGTTACCATTATAAATATCTCACTCAAACAGTTTACATCTTTCCATGAAGTTTACCAGATATCACCTGCCACACTGCAAGGGTTATTCAGTAAACTCAGATTGTTATAAGTGGAAACCTGAATAGCAAAACTGAGGCTAAAATAGCTAAGCTACAACTAAAGCAGAGTGAAGAATTTTCCAAGATGGATTATTATAGCCTAAATTTAGTTTCATTTGTAAAATGCTATAATTAAGCATAAACACCTATACAATAGAACCATTGGATCTCATGGCTCCCATGTTTATGAACACAGCTCAGAGATTGCAATCAGCCAGCAATGTGAAAAGCTGGAAGGTGACTTTGTTCATGTAAAAAGCTGTGCAGTCATACAGCAATACAGGACAGGATACCCACACAGACTATGGAATGCTACAGCTAGAGATTTCACCTTTACTGCAGTCACAAATTCACCCCAACATCAAAACAGCCAGCTCAGACACTCATATAGAAACATGGAAATGTTATATAAAAAAAAAAAAAACCACAACAGAATTTAGGAGAACAAGCAAAATTCAATGGACTGCCCTCTGGTTAGCCTCTCTTTAGGGATTACCCCACTGCCAGCTCAAAAATGTATTTACGGTACTTTTTTTTTTTTTAAATATATCCAAGTATATTAAATGCAGAAAAAATAAAAAAACCAAAATCATCATCCCGGCCTTTAGTATATTACCGTATCCTTTGTGTGTGTTGGATATGTATACACATATATACATACATATATACATATACACACACAGAAACGACTCGCTGGCTGGAATTTCTTTGCTTCAGTTAGCTCCGCAAAGCTAACGAAGGAGGCAGCACCACCTTCTCCTTTTAAAGCACTGTAACACATCGAAAAGTCACGATCATGTGCATGCTCACAACTCAATGAGAACTCTGATTAGTCTGTGTCAGAGAAAAAGGGAAGGGCTTGCAAAAGCTGCAGCCAGCAGATCTGCATCTTCTGTAAGCGGTTTTATCATACACACTACCATAAAAACCACAACACCATAAAATATGCATGCAATCTTTGGGTGTATATCTATTATACATTTTAATTTTTTTATTTTTTATTTTTTTAATCAATTCCTCTATATATTACGCTTTCATCTTAGAGAGACCGTTTCTTTTCTATAGTTAAAATGCACAGTTCCTTTAAAGACATAACCAGGTTGTCAAAGTAATGGTTTGGTCACAGACCACTGGAGTTTCAATTACCGGTATGTAGTTGCTTATAGACCACCTCACTTTATGTCAGTCACCTTTTCTGAAGGATTTGGCAATGTAGTCAAAAGGCTAAAGAGACATGTTTAGTCACTCAGTGCTGTAGTCTAGAGATTCTAAAAATAAAGCCAAATGCAGTAATTACTGCATCAAAAGAATCTTCTAATCACTCAATCATACTGTCTTGATGAAAAACTACCAAAAGTAAAAAAAAAAATTTTAATTATCACATGTTGTTGGGGGGGTGGGAGGAGGCTACTGGAAAAAATGAAACTAAACCTACAAATAAAAACTGCAATTCACCACAATACTGTAAATCTGAAGATTTTTTTAAAAATAATGAAAGACGTGGTTTTACAAGAACTTCTTGGAGTCAGGACGCCCTGGATGTGTCGTGAATTCTCAGCACTTTTATCCGTCTCTCCACTTTACCATATTCTTTCCTCTCTCTCTCAATTAACCAGAGAAAATGTAAAACCTATATGCCTGAAGAATTGAACCACAAATACATTTGCAAATATTTAAACCTACGATTGACCACATGTATGCTATACCAAGCTGCATTTGAATATCTCTGAATTACTGGTGATTGAAACGACTATAAAATCCACTTGCCAGCAAGTCTCTCCCATATCAACACATTATGAATCCTGAAGTACCAACTCACTGTTATGAGGATAAGAGAGTTGGGCAATATAATTCCTGGTTTTCTAATTTACAGGACTTCTAGGTGAAGTTACAAGCTGCAGGGCAGTCACAGTAAACTGGAGTTGTTATGGTGCTTAGTGTCCCTTAAAGAATTTTGACAAATTCATTTGTATTTTTTTTGAGGAAAATAAAAATCTCAAAACAGTTGTAAAATAAAATAAAAATGTAACAAACTGTAAATATAGGAGTGTTGCATGAATTCATGAAAAGAAAGAAAAATACTAACAAGCAATTCACAACTGATAATCTACAAATAATATATAAGAAATATATTGTAGTTTTGTGGAAGCGTTTCTGGATAGTCAGTGAAAATTAAGTAGTATTGTCCATTTACTGCTATACTGCTAACATTTTATACTTTGCTTTGGAGAAAAAAAAAAAAAAAGGCATTCATTTCCCATGCTATGCCTGCTATCTCTCATCTCCCAGACCATAGCTATATTGCCTCTTGCTCCTTTCCGGTCTTCAATTTTGCTCTTTAAACAAGAAGGAAATACCTTGTCACATCCACTCTGTCACCTCCACTGTACTCTAAGAAAATGCTGAAAACCCCAACTACCACATCACTTGACCTTACACAGTGCAATATGCTTCCTGACCACATTTAACCTCAGTGAAAATAATCACATTGCATTTCCTCCCATCATTCCATCTCCCCTCTTCCTATCATGCTCTAAATTAGGGGTTGTCAACCTGGTCCCTACCGCCCACCAATGGGCGTTTTAGGATTCCAGGTGGGCGGTAGTAGAATCCTCCCTCCATCCAGAGAGATGAATGCTCTATTCCTCTCATTTGTGCACTCAGTGGTAATCAGGAAGTGCAGATGCAAGTCCACGAAAGCGCAAAAGTGTGCCCGAACGCTCGTGTGCGCCTGTATAGCGCGCGTACGCACGTACAAACGCGTGCGCTCGTGAACAAGTGTAACACGTGGGTAGAGGAAGGGGATAGGTTGAGGAAGTTAGGTGGATATACGATAGCAGGAAGTGGACTACTTGTAGAATAGGAGAAAGAAGGAGCAGATTACTTTTAAAAAACGAGAAAGAAGGAGCAGAGTAGAGGGGGGACATTGAGGATGGAGAGGAGCTGATGCTCGGATGAGAAATCATATTATGAGCAAACAGAGAAACCGTCTGAATATGACCGAAAGAGGAGACCTTTGTTTGTTCCTTACGAAAATCGAACCCGATATCAAATATTTAGTCTCGCAGCATCAGCCTCAAGGATCTCATTAAATCACTAGTGAAGGTAATTTCAATTTACTTTATTGTTTTCTCATTAAACTTTATAACGTTAAAAACATTATAAACATGCATAAAGTAGAAATAAAAAGACAAATGTACGTACACTTTTTTTTTTTTTTTAAAACACCCTTCTATCTAGAAAATATAGGTCTATGTGCTAATGCATAACACTTGCAAGCTATACTAATGAAATACATACCACATATATACAGTATACATTTACAGCGCTAGTGACCATGGGGCGACAATGGTGCCATACTGATTCATTATACGGTATGCCAAGAGAATCACTTGTGGGGGCAGTACTTGTATCACTGCCCCAGTTCATTTTGGGTGATTTAATTCACAGCATGAGGCAGAAATAACACCCATCTCCTGACCAACCATCGCTCACCCCACCAACAGTAGAACAATGGAAGCCAGTGTTAGCTGACCATCGTTCATAAAATAAACCATTTGTTCTCACTTTCTGCCATGCCTCAAGCTGAATGAAATTGTGCTGGTCGCTCTCCTCCTACGTATGAGCACATGCATGGATCTGATTAGAAAGCAAGGAAGGCACTTTGTGTTGTAGTAACCTCTTATGATCAGCTTGTTATAGGTCAACATGTTTGTAGTGACACAGTATCGTACAGCTCAGCAAAACTGGGAACTGTAGAAATTAAAGGGTGAGTGATGCAGGAGAGGCAAGTATAAAAACGTGCTTACATATGACACCATGGAGTTTAATTTACATGGCATTCTCTGTGTGTGCCAGGACACCCAGGGATACAATGTACATTTGTAAATAATAACACATTCTGAATCAGGGCAGGATTACCCATAAACTGGCTTTAGGCAGCCACCTAGGCCCTAGCATAGTGGATTGACCGGAGACAGAAAGATGAACTAGGTTGGTCCATTTCACCACCCAATATGAAGCGTGGAGCAGGTCCGCCAGTAACCTTATCAGGGCTGTTCAGAACAAAGACTATAGCCTGCTTTTTACAGGACTATTCATTAAAGTGTGAATTGTCAGGAATTCAAAGCAAAGTCAAAGTAAGTGTCACATTTTTGCCCAAAATAGCCAAATGGAAATAAAGCTCTAAGCCAGCTGTGTTTTCAGTAAGTAAAATTTATAATTCATTTTAATTTAACTTTAAAATTTAAAACAATTCACACTTAGGAAATAACAGACAGCTTTAAAGGGGCACTATAGTGTCAGGAACACAAACCGGCCCCTCTCACCTCAGGTTAGAAACTGATGTACCCATCTTTTTCCAGTGCCTCACTGGGCTCCTTGCATCTGGTCCTGCCCCCAATCTGCCTTCTTGAGTGACATCAGAATTGATTATCTCAGCCAAATCACAATTCTTTCCTACAGGAAAGCATTGGATTGGCTGAGATTATCAATTCTGATGATCTCAACTGAGGAGGTGCGGGAACACCCCGCTGGCCAATCAGCATCTCCTCAAAGAATCAATGCATCTCTATGGGGAAAGATCAGCATCTCCATGCCGAGTGCAGGGACGCTGAACATAGGTGCTGCATACTGTGCAGCACTGACCCAGGAAGTACCTCTATTGGCCATCGGAAGAGTGGCAACTAGAGGTGTTCCTAGGCTGTAATGTAAACACTGCCTTTTCTCTGAAAATTGTTTACATTAAAAAAGCCTGCAGGGACTGACTATACTCTACAGAACAACTATATTAAGCTATATTTGTTCTGGTGACTATTGTGTCCCTTTAACCATGTGGAAAACAAAAAAAGACAGGTAACAAAACAAAATGAAACTATATGATTGCTCTCCTTTAAAACTCTGCGTCCGATTTTAGTAACGAGGCTTTGAAGGGAAAAAAAAAATACACAACTAAAAGAAGAATATGAATATATATTGTAAAAGTGCTTTAGTACATAAAGTGATCGTCCTAAAATACCAGATCCCTTGCATCAAGTCACAAGTATGCAAATTACTTTTGGCAATATCAATCAAGTTACATATTGATTGTAGCTTTCCAATGCTCTTGCAAGAATTCAGAAAATCTTAAATCTCAACTAGAAATCTCAAGAGTATATATATATATATATATATATATATATATATATATATATATATATATATATATATATATATATATATATATACACACATACACACATATATTCATATTCATATACAAGCATAATTATCAAAGTAGACACAACATCCTATACGTGGACAGCTGTGTGAACAGCTTGTTCCGCTGTGTAAAAAGTTTGATCAACAACTGCAGTCTCCCTTTACATCCATAAATGTCAGGATGTTTCAGAGAAACTGCAATGTTTACATTAAAGGGATTAGACTGACTCTAGTGGCTACCAGACAGCCTCTAGAGGCACTTCATGGTAAATGTCAAGCATCTTGCAAAACCCCATAGGAAAGCACAAATTCAATGCTTTCCCATGGGGAAGGTCTTATGCGCATGTTCCACACCTTAGGATCCCCCTCGTACGGACGTCGGAGAGCAATCCAGTAATCTTGAATAAAGTAAAATTTTAAAGGGTTATCTAACCCTTTCATTGCCACAAGAGGGAGCTGTGGGACACGAACACTGATAAAAGCCATATTGTGGCACGATTCACGGTTTAGTTAACTGGACAATGTGTAAATATACGTTTTGGGAGTTCGGGTCCATGGTTTGGCTATCTCCTGGGAGAAAAGAACACAATCTAGATTTAGCATGCAGATGCTGCATGAACTCAAACTGGAGAAAAATCAACGTGTGCAACCCAACACCATGCATTGCTGGCTGCCCAACTGACACCTCTGATTGATTGCAGTGATTTTAGGAAATGGCTGCATTTCTGAGCCACACTGAGATCAGAGAGCATGTGAACATACTCTCTGCACCATTAACTATATATACACACACACACACACACATCTGCAAGGCTGAGATGGTGCTTCAAGTGACCAACCAGTGTGGATGCATACAGAGTGCACATGAATAAACAAAGGTCGCGGTGTGTATGCATTTTCTGCACTCTATGTGAACACACAGGGTGAAAAAGAACAGGTAAAGCCATACATAAGACAATATACAAAATATACAAAAGGATGTCATTATTGTCAATGCATTTCACTTGCAAGTCTCTCCCACTGGAATCATGCTTAGTGCATCTCCCATTGATTTTAAAGTTGCGCGACAAGATTCGCTGGGATTATCCAGCCACTTCATACAGCAAGCAAAAATAACAAGATGTAGCTAAAGGAAAACCCAGCATGAGTTAGATTCATACAAAGTATCATATTTATGCAAATTGTAATAGAATCAGTTATGCATAAAATAACCACTGTGCGGTGTCTCTTTAAGTTGCTTTCTCTTTGACAGCTGCTTCAAGGCTTCATGAGGTTTCACAAAATCAATATCCTCCTAAGGGCATATCTGATAATCTCTTGTCTGGGACACACACACACACACACCTTAATTAGTGGCTCTGACAACCAGATCTCTCCAGGCTGAGGCACAATATGTTTAATGGCTTACTATAAAGAAAGCAAGGAAAGAATATTATATTTTATTCATTTTGGTGTCATCACACCATTAAACAGAATAGACCAGGTTTTTAGATTGGCTCAGCTTTTGGTGTGGTATTTATGTAAACAAGAATAGCATACGATTCTCTTTGTTTCTCTCTCCCCGAGTTTATCTCTTGCAGACAATTTGCGATACTTTAATTTTAGAAGCCTGCAGAGTACATTTCATTTCAGCAGAGGCAGAGTATTTTGTAACCTTATCATACAGTACTACTAATTATCTATTAGGAAGCAGTCATTCTTGTTGAAACAAACTTACTTTTTTGGCAAATATCTCATTTAATAAAAGATTTTCTGCACTACTTGGAAAAATAAAGTGTTCATGTTACAGGTGTACAATCACTTATTATAGGGTCATCCAATGCACCCACAACTTAGGTGTAAAGTGTATGTTGTGCTGCAGTAGGTTATGCTATTTTGTTGTTTTTTGCTGTTCTGTACATTATTGTAATACAACAGTTTCCTATGAAAAACCTCCCCTTTTTGAACTTTGACACTTCCTCCTGAACTTTAGCATTTCTCTTAATGCTTTAATAATAAGTTGTATCGGATGTCATGCTAGTTGTAGTCCTGCAGTACAAAGCTGAGAACTGGAATACAACTCCCAGAGACACTGATGGGACTGATTTATGGGATGAGCTAACTGGCAGAATGCTTTCCTAGTCTGGAAAAAGCTCACTGAAGAAGCTGCAAAAAAAAATGGAAATACAGGAACTGCAGGTATCGTTATGCATATATGTTTCATACACAAGGGGAAAATAAAAATAGACTATGCCTCTAGCCAGGACATAAGAAAGTGAATATAAGTGGATTATCTAGCACTCCACCTCTAACCTAGACAAACTGTGTTTAGTAGGGTACAGACATTAACAGGGTCTATTTAAAAAAAAAAAAAAAAAACACATGAAGATTGTCACGACACTCCTTAGTTAATATGCCCTCATGCAGTACTCACACTCACCACTGTTTCTGTTTGGCACTGTTTCTCATTTCTTTTCGTTAAGCACTACACCTGGCCCTTGTTTGGCACCTATATATTCTGGTATCTCCCCTCACTCCCTGTCAGATCATTATCCTTCACCTGCTGTTTCTTGGTTCCCCGTGATTCTGACTCCTTGCTCCTGTGTCTTGTATCCTGATCCTGTTCCGATGTCCTTATAGTCCTGCGTTCTCGTCTTTGCCTGGTCCAGTGTCTCCCGTTCCAGTGTTCCTGCCTATACTTCATTTCCAGTGATTCTGACCTTGCTGCCTTATTTACGTGTGACCTGCTTTGGGCTTTGCTCCTTGGTGTTTTTTATTTAGTGCTTGGTGGCTTAGGATCCGTGCCCCACTTATATTCTTTGGTGGCTGCACGATCCTGCCTAAGGACTATCAAGTGTACTCTACCTGCTCTATTTGTATTTAGTGTGTGTGTGTGTGTGTGTGTATATAATATATATCATTGTACATATTTTGTATATTATATCCTTTGGTTTTCTTTAATACATATTTTCTTGATTGCTCTATTCATCGTGTCCTTGCATTATTTCTCTGCTAAGTTGGTTCCCACATTTAAAGGAACAGTGCTGTCGCAGGGCAGCACCCCTTCATGTCCTTACAAAGATGAAGCCATACTTGCATATCTCTATCGAAAGACTTTTTGGGAAATCTGAAAAAAACAATGTATGTGTTTATGTATCTCCTATTAAAGTAGCCATCTAAGAAACATAACAAATACAGCCCATTGTGAGGGCGAAGCCTAGCAGCACACCAGAGCAGACGCCATACTTCCTAGCTCCGGCGGCCAAACTCGCAATCTACTAAATAGCAACAGCATCTTACAGCCAACAATAACCACAGGGGCAGACTCACATGTAGAACACTGCCCTGAAGTGGCCGATGCCTTTCTTCCTCGCCCCGGGTTAAAAAATCCTGCCTAAAGGCGCTGAGTGAACAAGTGCAGCAAATACAGGCAACACATATTGAGACACGCAAACAGGTGAATATTTTAGATGACAGAGGGCGAAGGAAGAATATTAAGATACGGGGAGTCCTGGAAACAATCCCTCTAGAAGAGTTACCACATTTCATACAAAGATTGGTGGCTTCCCTCCTGCCGGTAAAGCAAGCCAAATACTTAACATTCAATAGGGGTGTACAGGATTGCAAGGTCTCCTCAAGCCCCAGCCTCTGCATCCCGCGACATTATCCAGCGATGCCACTTGATTTCGGACAAGATGGGACTCTTAACGGCACTAAAGGGACAGTCTCTTTACAATTTTTTTTTTTTTTTTTAATTCTTTATTTTTGTTGTGCAGGAGGGTACAAGATATCAAACAGGTGCCACCACAACAGCATATTGCAGGGTTAGCATACATTAGGTAGTGGCATGAGAATTTGCACATTTTTATAATTTTAACCAGCTTAAGTAGACGATTATACTTGCGGCGTAACAGTAATTAAAACAAGTGAGAACGATTAATGTTTAACAATTTTGTATTAACTACGTTAGTGTCAGTATGGTGTGCAATCATGTTTTCGTGTTTCAGGGCTATGGTATGTGTTGACCAGGTATGATACAGGCTGCTATGTAGTATCCTGCTCGACTGTCCCATGGCTTGGGTGTCTGCATGTTGTGTAAAGTTAAGGTAGATAAACGCCATTGGGACTACACAATGCTCACCTCTATTCATATTCTAGCTTCCTGCTTTTGCTGTGAGGCTGGGTTGGGCTTTGGCACTCGGAGAGGTGTTCTTGAGTGTCGTCGGGGGTCGGGCTCTGGTTAGCCGGGGGCTTCTCTGTGCTTGAGGGCGTCGGCTGGCTTCCGCGTGGAGCAGGCCTTGCGCCTGTATGGCAGTGCCGCAGCTTTCTTTGCCGTCGGTTGTTCGTGTTTCGCATGAGTGGCTAGCCAGTGTGCCCGGAGTTTCAGGCAGAGACAGAATGCTTGCCATAACTTTTCAAAGGAGGCCTCGATAGGCTCAAGCTCCCGATCACTCCTTGGATTTGTATGTGCTCGTGAGGGGTGCTTGTCATCCGCCATCTTTGGCAGCCATGCGGCTTCAGGGTTTTTGCTCCGACTTGTTGGTCATGCTGAGGTGAGGTCGCACCCTGTAGGGACCGGGATATCCCCCGCCGGTCCAAGGGGACGGGGGGGAACAGGGCTGTGCAGATTCCTGTGGTCGCTTGGAGCCAGGGGTTGGGAGATCGGCCACCTCACCCAACACCCAGGTCGTCGACCGTAATAGGCTGTAGCGCTGTGTGCTGCCATCGGGTCACCCAGGTTCAAGCTTCGGGAGTAGTCGAGGGGGTTTAGGGTGATCCTCTGGTTGCCTAGGGTCAGTTTTCCCCAGGTTTGCCTTAGTTTTTTCAGGCAGTTTAGTTTAGTTTAGCAGGAGCTTGTGACAAACGCGTCTAGCCATCTTGGCTGTCAGGCCCTGCCCCCCGTCTTTTTACTATTTTGAACAGTGCCAGAAATTGATTTTTCAAAGATTTAAGCAGAGCCACTTTGTTGTGGAGGAAATCTATGCAACCCCTTACGAAAATCCTGCAAACTGAAGGCATGACCTACAGATGGGCAACACCAAGATCAGTATGGGTCACTAAGGAGGGGAAATCGTACAAGGCCACAGAACCAGCTAAAATCCCTGCCCTACTGGCGGCACTGGCCCTCCCTCAACAAAGTAATACAAACCAAGGACTGCCTCGCACTCCCTCACGAACTGTCACAGCCATACCCACATTTGAGCCCAGGAGGGACAAGAGGCCTATGACCTGACAAGCCTCAACACCTGGCCAACCTCTAATGAAGTTTTACTCATGTTTTATGTATGGTTTAATGTTTCTTTCTGTAAATAATTTTGTTAAATTGTCTTTAACAATACCTGCCGATGTATTGCCACCCACAGCAAAATGGGAAAGTGACAAACACCTCACCCGCTTTCTGCCAATAACACACAAGGCGCTCTCCATGGGAGCCACTACTGCCACCCTCCCTCCCCTTTTTTTATAACCTCAGGGTAACGGGGTAAGACATGCAGAGGTACGAGGGGTCCCCGCCCCACAACCCGGTAAATGGGCCTACCTAGACGTGGTAATGGGACTGACCTGAACCCCACATCACAGTCTACTCACTAGCTCCCTACGCGTAAACTTACCATAGGCAACACACCAGACACCCATAGGAGCTTTAACTCCTTCGCTAGGAATCGAACCAAAGCCGCTAACTCACCTCAAACACTGACAGCCAGGTAGCTAGCCCATCAACTAGGAGACAGAGTTTTTAATTAACCGGAGCAACAACCCTCTGAACCAGCAGAGTAGCATGTAACCCATAAGCTGGTGCCCGCACCACAGTCTCTCTCTCATGAAACTCAGAACAAGGCCTGACGAATTCCCTACACGAGTGGCCCTAACACAGCTAGCATAGTGAAGAGATATTATCACATACATTATCTACATCGTTACAACGAACAGTCCATTATACCAAAATTGTGCAATGATAATGTATGCCATGCTTTAGCATGTTGCATCGGTAATGTTGTGTTGTGTCTACTATTGTTCATACTGCAATGGCAGAACTACTGTGACTAATGTATCCGAATTGTATAAAAAATAAAGAATTACAACAAAAAAAAAAATACAGCCCATTGTAGTAGGTTTTGGTGCTGAAAATGTATAGGTGCCATATAGGTGCAGTTTGAAAAGAGAACAAAATGGCTTTCCATGGCACTCAGTGTATTATAGGCATGTCTGAATGAATGTATGTGGCTATATGGAGTTACTGGGTAATTAAGAGGAAAATATTTATAGGGACACTATAGGCACCTGGACCACTTCATCTCATTGAAGTGGTCTGGGTGCAATTCCTGTGTGATTACATTGCAGGGTTAACTCCACCCCTGATGCCTGTCTTCCAGGTCCCCAGTGGAGTTTTACTCTGTTAACTGATGCTGGATGTCCCAACGCTTTGGATGAGGATGTCTAACATTTTCTATATTCCCATAGTAAAAAAGCAATGATTTAATACTTTACTATGGAAGAGATGGAATGCACATTAGGTATCACTGTCACCATAGCTGGAGACCTAGCCAACATCATGACAGATTCTGCACTGGAAAGAGGCAAGATTTAAAAAAAAAAAAAAGTATTAAAAAAAAAGGTCTGCATTCCTAACACTATCGTGTTCCTTTAACTAGACAACAATCCAGTTATATGGTAAAATACATTGCAATAGCAATCTCAATGGCTCCCTAGAATATTGATGAATGCATATTATCATTAGCATTCAATAGTTTAAAGGGACACTATAGTCACCAGAAACAACTACAGCTTATTGAATTTGTTCTGGTGAGTAGAATCATTACCTTCAGGCTTTTTGCTGTAAACACGGCCTTTTCAGAGAAAATGCAGTGTTTACATTACAGCCTAGTGATAACTTCACTGGCCACTCCTCAGATGGCTGTTAGAGATCCTTCCTGGGTCATGGCTGCGTAAAATGCATTCAAACATTCAGTATCTCCTCCCTCTGCATGGAGACACTGAACTTTCCTCATAGAGATTCATTGATTCAATTCATCTCCATGAGGAGATGCTGATTGGCCAGGATTATGTTTGAATCATGCTGGCTCTTCCCCTGATCTGCCTCCTCAGCCAATCCTATGGGGAAGCATTGTGATTGGGTCAGGCTACCACTTCTAATGATGTCAACAGACTGCTTGTTTTTCTGAGTCTAACAGCATGCAGAGTTACAGTTTCATGCTTGAATACAGTAAGATTTTTTACTATATTTATGGAGGCATGAGGGTCTAGATGGTGGTTTTAACACTATAGGGTCAGGAATACATGTTTGTGTTCCTGACCCTATAGTAAATAGAGGGTTCTGTTATAGTGTCAACAAAATATGACACAGTCTGTTAGTGATTATGTTAGAGGGATAACAGGATAAACTAGAAAATAATATGTCCTTGAAAGTTTTTCTAAAATTAGAAAATGTGTAGGAGAGTCATTTTCAGACTGGAGAAATTTAAATGGAGTCCAAGAGAAATGGGATTATCTAAAAGTTGCACTACTGAAGGCAACAGAAAATTGCATTAGGCTTGTCAGTAAAAGCAAAAAATTAAAGAAACCACTGTGGTACTCCCCATATGTGGCCAAAGTAGTTCAACAAAAAGTTAGCATTTAGAAATTATAAAAAAAACCAGAGTGAGGAAGACAAAATGATCTATAAGATTAGGCAGTAAGAGGCTAATCAAGTTATAAGAGCTTCCAAATCACACACAGAAGAGAAAATAGCACAGTCAGTAAAAAAGGGGGCCAAAACATTTTTTAGATACATAAATGAGAAAAGAAACGTAAAACAAGGATTAGTTAGATTATAAACAAAAGAAGGAAGGTATGTAGAAGAGGATAAAGGTCTAGCTGACTGCCTCGATGAATATTTTTGTTTGGTATTTACAGATGAAAATGAAGGAAAGGGACCTCAGTTAAGAAAAAGGATAAATGAGTCATTTATTACACGTGAGTTTACAGAGGAAGAGGTTCTATTTCAACTGTCAAAAGTAAAGACAAATAAGTCAATGGGATCTGATGGAATACACCGAAGCTATTAAAAGAGCTTAGTGGTGTACTAAGCAAAACCATTAAGATTTATTTAAGCAATCATTGTTAACAAGGAAGTAGTCCCAAGAAGATTGGAAGTTAGCGAATGTTGCCCACATTCACCAGAAGGTAATATAGGGAGAGTCGGGCAACTATAGGCCGAAAACAAGCCTTACTTCAGTAGTGGGGAAAGTGATGGGAACCATGTTAAAGGATAGGATTGTTGAACATCTAAAAACACATGTATTTCAAGATCAGAGACAACATGGGTTTACTTCAGGGAGATCATGCCAAACTAATCTTATTGATTTTTTTTGATTGGGTATTGGGTAACTAAAATAATAGATCAGGGTGGTGCAGTAGACATTGCTTACCTAGATTTCAGTAAGGATTTTGACACTGCACATAGAAGGCTTATCAATAAACTGCAATCTTTAAGTTTGGATTCCAATATTGTTGAATGGGTAAGGCAGTGGCTGAGTGACAGGCAACAGAGGGTTGTAGTCAATGGAGTATATTCGAAGCTTGGACTTTTTACCAGTGGGGTACCTCAGGGATCTGTACTTGGACCCATTCTCTTTAATATTTTTATTGGTGATATTGCAGAAGGTCTTGATGATAAGGTATGTCTTTTTGCTGATGATACTAAGATATGTAACAGGGTTGATGTTCCAGGAGGGATAAGCCAATTGGCAAATGATTTAGATAAACTAGAAAAATGTTCAGAAATGTGGCAACTGACATTTAATGTGGATAAGTGCAAGATAATGCATCTTGGATGTAAAAACCCAAGGGCAGAGTACAGAATATTTGATAGAGTCCTAACCAACATCTGAGGAAAGGGATTTAGGGGTGATTATTTCTGATGACTTAAAGGTAGGCAGACAATGTAATAGAGCAGCAGGAAATGCTAGCAGAATGCTTGGTTGTATAGGGAAAGGTATTAGCAGTAGAAAGAGGGAAGTGCTCATGCCATTGTACAGAACACTGGTGAGACCTCACTTGGAGTATTGTACACAGTACTGGAGACCGTATCTTCAGAAGGATATTGATACCTTAGAGAGAGTTCGGAGAAGGGCTACTAAACTGGTTCATGGATTGCGGGAGAAAACTTACCAGGAAAGGTTAAAGGATCTTAACATGTATAGCTTGGGGGAAAGACGAGACGGGGGGATGTGATAGAAACATTTAAATACATAAAGGGAATCAACACAGTAAAGAAGGAGACTATATTTAAAAGAAGAAAAACTACCACAACAAGAGGACATAGTCTTAAATTAGAGGGACAAAGGTTTAAAAATAATATCAGGAAGTATTACTTTACTGAGAGGGTAGTGGATGCATGGAATAGCCTTCCAGCTGAAGTGGTAGAGGTTAACACAGTAAAGGAGTTTAAGCATGCGTGGGATAGGCATAAGGCTATCCTAACTATAAGATAAGGCCAGGGACTAATGAAAGTATTTAGAAAATTGGGCAGACTAGATGGGCCGAATGGTTCTTATCTGCCGTCACATTCTATGTTTCTAAGTTAGGTTGTAACCTTTTTCCAGCTAAGAACTATTGTGTTTCATGATTTGCTATATGCTGTAAAGTGTACCCGTCATGTGTTGCAGAAGCTCCCATGCCCTTGAAATAAATAGATAGATAGATAGATAGATAGATAGAGAGAGAGAGAGAGAGAGAGTCATTATTCCTAGACGAAAATAAGAGAAATGATAACCTACCTTCTGTCCTGAACAGGTTTCTCTGGTGTCTGCGTGGAGAGTATCTTGATTATGATCAATCCTGAACCTGTGACACATACAGAAAGTATTGGCAGCATCAGCATCTGACCTCCCATTGCAAAAACAAGCAGTATAGTTTCCTGAATGTACCCAATATTCTCCATAAGAAAAACGCATGGAAGTACAGAGCGAGTATTTTATTCTTTAGAATTATAAGCTTGTAAATAATGACTAAATATGTACACTTCAGAGTACATACAGCTGAAGCTTGAGGACAGAATGAAAGGCACTAATTAAAACGCTTACACAATTACTGGCACTCAAAACAAACTGAAAAATTATCACATTTCTTTATCTATGTAAATGTTAGATGCGAATTTCTAACCTAAGAACCACTGTTCCCACACTCTCTAATGCCTAATGACACACACCCACACCATAGGAACCTCTTTCTTAAATGTCAATAGATCCAAAAGGAAAAAAACAAGACTGAGCATTGACTATTATCCTGGCATAATGAGAAGTACCTAATTCGTGGGTACAGCTGGATGGTTTGCCTTCATAAAGTTAGTTTCTAAATAAACTCTTTCGAAAGAGTGTAAATCCTTAACATCCTCCTTAATACAATGCTATCATTAGCACTATTACAGGGAGGTTTGTGGGAAGCAGGTAAAATAGATATATCCACTGCATAAAGCTCTTGAAATAAATACATTATGTTAAAATACATTATGTGAGGGAACTGCACTCACTCCCATCAGTCTGAGCCAGGGTACTTTAGCTATACCAGAACCAAACGCCAGATTTCCAAAGTAGTAGAATAAAGGAAAAAAGGTTCCTTGGTTCAAAATAGGCACTTTATTAGAACCACAGCTGTGGTTCTAATAAAGTGCCTATTTTGAACCAAGGAGTGCCTGGACCTTTTCTCCTTTAATGTATTGATAAATGTCACAGCAGCTGTCCTTATATGACCAGGTTTGGGCCAATTACAATGTTTCTGTCAATAAAATTCTCTTTGCTTACTATAAGCAATAGTCCTTTAAAGCGACACTGTTGGCACCCAGACCACTTCAGTTCATTGAAGTGGTCTGGGTGCACTTTCCCTGGTCCCTTAACCCAACAAAGGTCATTATTGAAGTTATTAACTGCAATAAATTACATTTATTTATTTATAAAATATTTTACCAGGAAAGATACATTGAGATTTCTCTCGTTTTCAAGTATGTCCTGGGTCCACAAATCATTGCATTGTTACATTAGGTACAACAAAATACAAAAACAATATTAATACACAATATATACAAAATTTAACATAGAACAGGCAGGAAATATATAATCAACCATGACACGTGCATTCTGTTTTGAGGTATGTAGAGAGGGATCTCTTAAATGACTTTAGGCTTAGGGAAGATTTTAAATTGTGCGGGAGGTCGTTCCACAATTGCGGTGCTCTGTAGGAGAAGGAGGATCGGGCCGCTTTCTTTTTGTATTGAGGTAGACTAAGTAAAGTGCTTGTACTGGATCGGAGCTTATAGAAAGTGGGAACAGCTGGGGAAAGCATTTTGTTCAGGTAGGGTGGGAGTTTCCCAGAAAAGCTCTTAAAAACAAGGCTGGAAAGATGAAGGGTGCGTCTGGATTCCAGCGACAGCCAGTTTAGTTCCTTTAGCATGTCACAATGATGGGTCCTGTAATTACATTGTAGCACAAATCGGCAGAACGAGTTATACAATGTGTTGAGTTTATTAATGTGGGATCGCGATGCAGACGCATATACTACATCCCCATAATCAATGATTGGCATCAGCATTTGCTGTACAATCTTTTCCTTTACTGTAGGGCTTAGGCAGGCTTTGTTTCTGTACAGGGCACCTAATTTTGGATAAAGTTTAGATGCAAGCTTTTCTATGTGCAGGCCAAAAGATAGATTGGGGTCTAATATCATACCCAAGTATTTGAAAGAGTGGACTGCGGTCAGTGTGCCATTTGAATTTGTTTTGATGGATAGGTGGGGATTGTGTAATTTGTGCAATTTAGGTACTGTTCCAAAGATCATTGTGACAGTTTTGTCAGTGTTCAGGAAGAGTTTGTTTTTTGCGATCCACTTTTCTACCTCTGTAAACTGGTCTTGGAGCAAAGCCTCAAGTTGCGGTAGATTGGGTTTGCTCGCATAGATTACCGTGTCATCTGCGTACATGTGTACATTTGAGGATTGGCAGACATAAGGCAGATCATTTATAAATAATGTAAATAGTAGGGGGCCGAGAATGGAACCCTGGGGAACACCACACGTGACTGGGAGAGGGAGGGAGTCACTGTCAGAAATGGACACATATTGCGAGCGATCCGATACATACGATCGAAACCAGTTTAAAGAATGATCACCAATACCTGAGTTTTCGAGTTTGTGCAGTAGAATGTCGTGGTCTACTGTGTCAAAGGCCTTAGCAAAATCAAGGAAAATAGCTCCAGTTAGGGCTCCTTGTTCCATGCCAGTTTGGATGTCATTGCAAACTTTTAGGAGGGCAATTGTAGTGGAGTGATTCTGGCGAAAGCCCGATTGATCAGGGGTCAGATAGTTTAATTGTTGGTAGTACTCACAAAGTTGCGTATGGACACATTTTTCTAAGATTTTTGACAATACCAGGAGCAATGATATTGGGCGATAGTTAGAAACCAAAGTAGTGTCACCACTTTTATGGATAGGCACTACTCTCGCAGTCTTCCAAAGTTTGGGTATGTATCCAGACACCAAGGATTCGTTAATTAGAGTTGAGACGGGTTTAGCAATTGCCGGCGCACTGAGCTTCAACAGCATTGCTGGGATTTGATCAGGTCCGGACTGGTTTTTCATTTTTAGATTATTAAGATGTTTTTTAATGACACTAACAGGTACAGGTCTAAAATTAAACTTATCTATATTGGGCCTTTGCAAATTTAGTGGGGCCTGATCCACATTTGTAGTTTCAGGATGCGTGTCATTTATTAGCTTGTCAATCAGGGCAGTAGAGCATCCGACAAAATAATTGTTAAAGGCATTTGCAACATCTAAAGGAAGTTGCAGGGTTTGGTTACCCACTTTGACAGTGGAGGGTTGGGAGTGGATTGGGGGAGTTTGTAGTTTATTTATGACTTTCCAAAAGTTTCTAGGGTTTGAGATGTTACTGTTCAGATTTTCATAGAAATATTGGGCCTTGGCCAGTTTTGTCTGTTTTGTGCATATATTTCGCCATTGTCTATATGCACCGTGATCATTCATAGAGCCAGTATGCTTAAACTTTGACCACAAAGAATCCCGAAACTGGTACATTTGGATGAGGTCAGCTGTGATCCAGTTCATATGCGCTCCTTTTACCCTCACCTTACGCAGCGGGGCATGCAAATTCCAGATTTGAAGGAGTTCAGACTGAAAGTATTCAACAGCACAGTCTAGATCTGGGATAATGTTTAATCTGTGCCATGAGAGATTCTTGATGTCATTTAAAAAGGATTCAAGATTAAATTTTTTGAAGGACCTAGTTATTTTAACCTTGGGAGAGGATTTAATAGCCTTTATTTTGCGCACGCAGTACACTAAACAGTGATCACTGAACGTGTTGGGGAGAACACCAACCTCCTGGATTCTATCAGGAGAAGTGGAGAGAATCCAATCTAGCAGGGTATGTTTATGGCTTTTAATGTTTATGCGAGTTGGGGAGGAGATTAATTGCGTTAGCTGCAAAGTCTTAAACAGCGTGCAAGAACTATTATTTTTAGGGTTCAGCCAATCAATATTAAAATCTCCAAAGACCAACAGTTCACTTTTTGGGTTTTGAGCTATGGTTTCACTAAGGAGATGGGCTATGTCAGAAAGGGAATGCACAGGAGAGCTAGGTGGGCGGTAGATTCCTGCAACAATGATGGATTTACTGCACGGGATCTCAATTGTGCCAGAAAGGAAATCAAAGATGGCAGGAGGACTAAGGTTTTGTAAAGGGGTAAACTTTATGGAATTGTCAACATAAATAACAATGCCTCCTCCTCTCTTTGCTCTGTCATTTCTAAAACATGAATAACCCTGTATTGCAATGGCGGTGTCTGGTATTTTAGCCGTTAACCATGATTCTGAGAGCACAATGATTTTTGGTTTGTAATGGGAACACCAGGCTTGCAGTGCATCCAGTTTAGGGAGTAAACTACGGATGTTGCAGTGCACAAAAGAGAGGCCTTTTTTAGTGGGGAGATTAGGACTAGAATTAGCTGGGGGACCAGGGTTAGACTCCACATCATTTGCAAGGGCAAGTAACATAAGGAGTAGGAATTTGGACATCATCTTTGTTTGGCCATATAGTGAATGGGATAATTTATAATTTTGTGAGTTTGGGGTAGGAGGGCTATTTTTTATAACTCTCCACCAGCACTCAGCAGATAAGTTAAAGGAACAGAGCAGGCCATGGTGTATTATAATTTGTGTTCCAGTTTGAGGTGTGTGCTTATGCTGGTAGTTGTGTGAACAAAATTGGATTGAGAAAAGGGTTATTAAGAATAACAGTATGGTTATATTAGGATTCATGTTAGTGGTATAAGGTGTGTAGTTGAAAATGAAACAGAAATTGTGAGAAAAAAAAATGTAAATAGAAGTATATGGTTTTGGTGTGTGATATCTATTTGTAGTGAGAGAGGGTATGTGTTCTATAGGGTTAAGAGATTGAAAGGGTGTGCTGATCAGTGGTTGCACCTGTCATTTCAGTAGATTGAAAGTTGTGTGGGTGGGTGGGCGAGGGGTAGGGTGGGTTATGGATTAACTAAACAGCCACTAGAGGGACTTCTGGGTGATTATGAGACTTTTGGTCGCCTGACGCCATGAGGTCATCCAGCATCACCCGATGCCCCATAGGAAAGTATTGTATAATGTTCTCCTATGGGGAAATCCTAATGTGAGCACGGCCAGTGACGAAGGCGGACCCAAGCCAGCGCCGAAGGATACAGGTGCTTCTACACCACTGGTGGGAGGGGGGCACTTTAGGGAGCTATAGTGCCAGGAAAACAACTTTGTTTTCCTGGCACTATAATTTCCCTCTAATTTCAGATGACAACTGATAAAAACCAATTGAGAAGTGATGTCTGTATATGCAAATTGAATATACATACTTTTAATGCAAGAATTTTACTTCATCATACTCTTTTTTTTTTTTTTTTTCAAATTTACATAGCAAGTGTCAGCACTCCAAATCCTCAAATGGCATGTCGAAACTAAACAGTGGGTGCAACATGATCGTGACAAGGTTTTATTTATTCTTATTGACACGGAACTCTACAATCAGCCTTACAGGGAATGCCTTTAAAGAATCCCCCAATGATCAAAGACTTCATATTTGATCCGCTCTATGCAGAGTCTCTCATGTCTCCTCCCCAGCTACTACCACTAACGCAAAATCAAAATTTGTGCCAGTCACTCTCGTTTTTCTGGGTGGAGAGGAATATATCCAGATGCGACAGGGTGTGGACATCTGAATGCCTTTAACCTTTAGATGAGTGTGTGTGATTATATATAGTCAGTCAACAAGAAGGAAGGCTGCTCTCCGGACTTTGAAATAAAAAAGTTTATTCAAATAATATTAAAGGACCACTCTAGGCACCCAGACCACTTCAGCTTAATGAAGTGGTCTGGGTGCCAGGTCCTTCTAGGGTTAACCCATTTTTTCATAATTATAGCAGTTTCAGAGAAACTGCTATAATTATGAATGAGTTAAGCCTTCCCCCTAATCCTCTAGTGGCTGTCTCATTGACAGCCACTAGAGGCGCTTGCGTGCTTCTCACTGTGAAAATCACAGTGAGAGCACGCCAGCGTCCATAGGAAAGCATTGTAAATGCTTTCCTATGAGACCGGCTGAATGCGCGCGCAGCTCTTGCCGCGCGTGCGCATTCAGCCGGCGGGGCGTAATGGAGGCGGAGAGGAGGAGGAGAGCTCTCCGCCCAGCGCTGGAAAAAGGTAAGTTTTTACCCCTTTCCCCCTTCCAGAGCCGGGCGGGAGGGGGACCCTGAGGGTGGGGGCACCCTCAGGGCACTATAGTGCCAGGAAAACGAGTATGTTTTCCTGGTACTATAGTGGTCCTTTAAGAAGAGCACTCCAGAGGACTTGTTTAGTAAATTTTATCGGTGTTGAGCAAAATCGACGTTTCGACCCGCAGGTCTTCTTATCATTTTTCTGTTTATTTACGCTCTGCAGCACCGAGGCTTTTTTGGATTACAATTTTAAGGCAGAGTGCCAGAGACAGACAGACAGACAGACAGACAGACAGACAGACAGACAGACACACTCTCTCTCTCTCTCTATATTTTTTATTTATTTTTTTAAATGTACATTTTACTGCACCTTATTTATGCCACATTGTTGCTGGTGCAACTTTTTTTTTTTTTTACTATTATTATGATTAGCATTTATATAGCATCAACATATTAAGAAACACATTCCAATTATAATTTACTGGTAACGTGGTAGTTCTAAGGAGGCGACATTACCGCTGCTCTAACCAGCAAATATATTTTTGGGAGTATAGCATTATTTCTTTTCATATAGCAAAAACAATTAACAATGGGAAATGTTCCTATGCAACAACTAGATTTTGCTTCCAAAAAAAAATAAAATATAATAATAAAAAAATTTTTTTAAAAATCATGGGAGGTGTAGTCTAAAACATCTGGAGTGCCAAAGGTTACCTATACCTGCTCTACATGACCTCCTATATCCTGACTATAAAATGTCTGACTACAACAATTCAAAAAAATATTTATATACACTAGCAGCATATTTCTCTATTATCTTGGATTCTGTAACGAACACTGGTTGACTTATTAAAAACTCCAGGTAGTGAAGAGGAAAGATGACACCTTGTTCTCTGGGACTTTGTAACTAGCTACTTAGCTCAAAGTATCAAAGTGCTTTTATTTATATATAATCGTGTAAGCAACCTTATCTTATAGCAGCACTGTACCAAAACAAGATTTTGACGTCTTTTGGCGTGCCGGCACCCTTTTTTCCCCCCTTTTTCTAATTAACTTGTGTGTGCATGCATTGCAGAATACTGATGTGTCATGTATGGGTGCTGTGGATGCTTTGTAGAATTGCATTTATCCATATGTGGGTGTGTTTCAATGTGCATGCGCATTAGCAGTTTTTGGAATGTGTAGCACCCCTCCAATGCACACTGCCAGGGCACACAGTTGCACATTGCTGGACTCACACTCTCACACAGTTAGACACAAACAGACATGCTCATGACTGCACCCAAACACTGGCAGGGGGTCAGCTTCCCTGGGGTTCAGTAAGGACTGGGTTTGCTGGCAACACCTGCGCCGTGTCTTCTTCACAAACACGGAGAGGAAGTGATCTGAGGTCTCCTCCTTACTGCCCGCTTCAATTGGGCACTAGCAGATATCTGAAGAAGTCCTGCCAAGAAACTGGTCAGGTCAACGCCAGAGGAATTACACAGACCTCCCCAGCCTGTTTGAGTTTGGCAATAGATTGCTGACCACTGCACACAGTTTCTCCCTAAAACCAGGCTTATGGCTTTGGAATTTTACAAGTCTTGAGGTAAACAAACAGAATAAAGTACTAGGTGTTTATTTTTTAATTAATAACAATCCATTAATACCACTTGAAAATCTATCCAAGTATTACAAATCGGACTGTGCTGTACACTTAGGGGTTTATTAATTAAACTGCAAATTATTATTGGGACAATGAAATACCCAATTCTAGGCACAAGAATTAAATAGCAAAAATAGGTGTTTTCATATTTTGGCCTAAAATGTGCAAACCCTCAACAATTCTTCACCGTTGACTGAATAAGACACCAAATGCATGCCTTCAAAACAATTCTAGTGAAATAAAACCCCTTACTGAACATTTTGTTTTTGTATAGTTACTGTTTAGAGTCTTTTCCAAGCAGAAGTATAGTGCAAAAATGGTTTTCTATAAAACAAAATGACACCATTACAGTATGTAACCACATATGTTTCCAAAGTAAATAATGTACAATCTGATGAAACATATTCCTCAGCTTCACTTCAGAATAAAAGACTACCCGGAACAAAAACTGCAAGAAAGTAATGGATCAGTGCTACCCATCAAATCAGCCCAGATAAATATTTAGAGTGTTGTGACTGTGGAACAGGTTTAACAAACACCAGAGCAGGCTGAAAATATGTTAAGTATTTTATAGAGAGGTCCACGGGTGAATGTACTTCCACTACAAAAACTACTCCTGCAAATGGTTCTTGTATTTTTAAATTTAATTTTTTATTTTTTTTTGAAACCGAAGATAAGAGTATCCATATTATGATATAAAAGGATTTGTGCAAGTCTTGGTCATAAAGAGATTGAAGTAACTTTTCGGATAGTAGGGTTTGAGAAATGTCATTGCAATACGCTTTTCAGTTTTGTGATGCTTCAGCAGCAAAAACACAACAGAACAAAAATAGCCGATTTAAAAGATTTCTCACACTCTGTTGTACACATCGCTGTGCTATTTATTTATTTCATTTTCAGTTCACTTCAATGATGAGTAAAAACATTTATTTTTTAAATGCATTTAGCATCATAAATTCGTACTGGCAGTGGTGTTCCTATAGAATAAGTGCATTCCCAAAGAAAGGCTAAATTTGATCAGTTATTTCAACTAGGTGGCACTGCTGTTTTACAAACACTGCATTGCCACAGCATTGTGCAAAGCATGCTGAAAGTAAATGTGTTTGCACAATTCTAAACCCTACTGCAACCTTTCACATTGCCCATCAGTGCAGCATGTCTCTGAAGTCACTGCAGATTTTTTATAATCAGGCCACATGCAATGGAGAGATCGGGAATAGAAAAACAAAAGACATAAAAATAAAGGTGGGGGGGGATATTGAAAAGAAGAAGCTGCCAAGAGATGGCCAAACACAGAAGAAACAGCTGCTTCCTCTTTTAAACATTATCTGGTTAAGGAAACATTTATCAGTAATTGCATTATAAACAGAAAGAGTGATATATATATATACACACACAAATTTCCTACATCACAGGCTCTGCATAGTCTCCATGATTTCAGCGTGGTTTCCTGTATTAAAAACATTTTAAAGCAAGTGCCAGAAAACCGAATGTCTACACACATGCAAGTTAGCTGCTGGCAAAACTCCTTGGGACGAAGCAGCTCATAGCAGCAATGCTCTGTGTGTATATTATAAATCAAGCGAATAGGGACCTTCCAAAACTGAAAGTATGAACCAGACAACCACATTATCCGAGGGAGTAATAAATAGAAACATCACATGACACACATAGAGTAGCCCTCCTAGCCAAGGAAACAGCAAAACCCACTCAGATAAGCTAAATAATGGAATTCAATGGAAAATGTAAGAATGTTTGGGAAGTGCATTAAATGGGGGGTTGGGAGGGGGGAGGGACACATAATGGTCAGAACTCATCAACCACTGCTCATAGCGTGTTGTGGATGGAACGTGGAGGATGGGGTTGCGTTCTATCAGGAGACACATGGCAACGTGACCAGACCATGCATGAGGATCTAAATATGGACCTGTGCTTCTACTTCTAATGACCTCAGGATTCCATCATACTGATATTACCGAATAATGACACATATGGCGAGCTTATTACGCACATAGATAACACGTTCCCTTGCATACCCAATAGTCTATATATTATTATTTATTCCTGGCTATTTTGCAAAACTGAGCTACATTCCTGGTTCTTCTTATACCCTACATGTCACGACTTCCACAATCCCTCCAACCTTCCCAATGCATCTGGTCGGTCTACATGATTTAAAGAGCCCAGGCTGCTGTGTGCTGAGCCATCCCCCCTATGCATTATGTCTATTATTAGCCCATTCTGGGCTTTATTAACTTACCTTTACCAAGACAAAAGATCCGAGTGCATGCCGGCTTAGCCTGGCCTGATTATATAGCTATGCAGGGGGAAAAGCCGTGTAGTCTGCAGTCTATGCACCGCCCTTGCTCTTCTCGTTAGCTCATCTGCATAGATATCCTCCCTCAGTGTGTACGGCCTCCATAGCTTACTGACATATCGCCCGCCCATTCGTTGTATGTATCACGCCTCTCTCGCCGGTGAATTGGGTAACGAGAAAGGAGACAAAAGTTTCAGCTAGGGTTTCACACAGAGCTGTCAGTCATTCATAGAAAAAATGTGACCTCACAAGTCTGAAAACTAATATTCCAAAAGCTGTTTTGTCACTAAAGGAAAAAAAAATTTAAAAAAATGAAGCAATGCTGCAAATACAATATCGTGTACTGACTGGAATTTAACTCTAAAATCTGCATTTGTACACACAAGAGATCTTTTAACTGTAGAACAAATAAAAAATGCCCACTGCAATCTCAGACTATAATAATTTATTATACAGCATTAAATAGCCATAATTTAAACCACATACCATGGTACACATTGTACCTGTGGGCTGGAGGACAAACAAATCAAAGAACTCATATAATAAATGTTTGCAATCAAATATGTACACTTTGTTATTGTGATAAAGATGCAGATTTTCTTTTTTAATTGAGAATTTATTTTAAATATGCTTAAAAAAGTAATGATGCCATGTCAGTGTCTTACTATTTGTGAGGTAAATGTGCATGGCTATGCTCTTGAGACATCACCAACCTGTTTATCTCCTGCACAACAAAATAAAGAATGATAAAAAAAAAAGGTGGTGGTGGGGGGGGGGGTCACATATATTTAATGAGCATTTCACGTCCAAGTGAAGATTTCTCAACAACTCTGCTTTGAAGTGTAATTATCATGGTGCACAACTAAATGTGTATCATACCGGTATGTACATTATGAAATAAAGCATTGCTAGCAAATGTGAGCATTTTATAAATCAACAAAATATACAGGTGATACTCGAAAAATTTGAATATCGTGTATTTCAGTGTAAAAGGGCAAACTAATCTATGAGATAGACGCATTACATACAAAGCAAGATAGTTCAAGATGTGATTTGTCAAAAGTGCGATGATTATGGCTTACAGCTCATGAAAACCCCAAATCCACAATCCACAATAGAATATTACATGCAGTCAAGAAAACAAGGAGTGTACATAGAACAATATCGGACCTCTGAAAAGTATAAGCATGCATATGGAGTCAGTACTTGGTTTGGGCCCCTTTTGCAGCAATTACTGCCTCAATGCGGCGTGGCATGGAAGCTATCAGCCTGTGGAACTGCTGAGGTGTTATGGAAGACCATGATGCTTCAACAGCAGACTTCAGCTCTTCTGCATTGTTCAGTCTCATGTCTCTCATCTTTCTCTTGGCAATACCCCATAGATTCTCTATGGGATTCAGGTCATGTGAGTTAGCTGGCCAATCAAGCACAGTAATCCCATGGTCATTGAACCAGGCTTTGGTGCTTTTGGCATTGTGGGCAAGTGCCAAGTCCTGCTGGAAAATTAAGTCAGCATCCCCATAAAGCTCGTCTGCGGAAGGAAGTGCTCCAAAATCTCCTGGTAGATGGCTGTGTTGACCCTGGACTTAATGAAGCACAGTGGACCAACACCAACATATGACATGGCTCACCAAATCAACACAGACTGTGAAAACTTCACACTGGTCTTCAAGCATCTTGCAATGTGTGCCTCTCCATTCTTCCTTCAGACTCTGTGTCCTTGGTTTCCAAATGAGATGCAAAACTTGCTCTTATCAGAAAAGAGGACTTTGGACCACTGAGCAACAGACCAGGTCTGTTTTTCTTTATACCAGGTAAGACGCTTCTGACGTTTGTTGTTCAGGAGCGCTTGACAAGAGGAATACGACATCTGAAGCCCATCTCCAGGATCCATCTGTGTGTGGTGGCTCTTGATACACTGACTCCAGCCTCAGTCCACTCCTTGTGAAAGTCCCCAACACTTTTGAATGGCCTTTTCCTGACAATCCTCTCCAGGCTGCGGTCATCCCTGCTGCTTGTGCACCTTTTTCTTCCACACTTTTCCCTTTCACATAACTTTCTATTAATGTGCTTTGATACAACACTTTGGGAACATCCAACTTCCTTCGCAATTACCTTTTGAGGCTTTTCCTCCTTATGGAGGGTGTCAATGATAGTTTTCTGCACAACTGTCAGGTCAGCAGTCTTCCCCATGATTGTGATTCCTATTGAACCAGACTGAGAGACCATTTAAAGGCACAGAAACCCTTTTCAGGTGTTATGGCTTACTTAGCTGATTAGAGTGGGACACTGTGAGCCTAGAATATTGCACCTTTTCACAATATTCTAATTTACTGAGATTGTGGATTTGGAGTTATCATGAGCTGTATGCCATACTCATCGCACTTATGACAAATCACAGCTTGAACTATCTTGCTTTGCATGTAATGCGTCTATCTTATATATTAGTTTTCCCTTTTACGTTGCATTACTGAAATAAATGAACTTTTGCACAATATTCAAATTTTTCAAGTATCACCTGTATATAGTACCTGCAATGTAATTCAGTTGATTGCATGAATAACTCTCAATTGAGAGGCAGGATGAACAGGAGAATCCAAGAAAAGGAGGTTCTCCTGTCATTGCAATTATAGTGCATGCGCTGTATTTGCAGTGATTTTTTAGTTTGTGTGTAAATATCGCAGTTGTTAGGGGTTCTTGTAAAGCATCTCTGAGAATCAAGGCAGTTTGAGATATGGGCAAGTATCTACTTAATATTCCAGTTTAACCTGTATGCCATTAAGGCTATAGTGGAAGCATATTCATATACAATATGGAAATAATGAATGGCGGTAACCCATTTTCCCCAACACGTTTCACCACCGCTCCTCTCTCACATAAAAAGTCATGAAAATGTAACACCTTCCTTATAGGATAGGCAACACATTCCTATCCTCTTTCATTCAGTAATCTCTGTTACTTGTTTCTTTCTACAGTTCCTCTTTAATGACTTTCTCTTCCTTTCACTCTGTGTCTCATAGTTTGGAAACAGATTACTTTCACTCACATTTCATGTGAGTGAAAGTGATCTTTCACTATTTCCTGTAGGACCCATTCTGGTTCCTTTGTGTGGAAAAATCCACATCAATTTCACATACTTGTAGGATTTAGTAAGCTGTTTGCTTTTTGACACTCTGATAATATATTTCCCTAGTCTCGCCTTTTTGCAATATATCCACTGTTAATGAATATTGGAGTGAAATGCCAAGACTATACATTATCAAGAACTAAAAAAAAAATCACATACAAGGAAAGCAATTATGCTAACTTTCTTTCATTAGTTTTGTTTTCATGTTTGATAGTGTACTTGTCAATATCAACCGTACCTTGCAGAGTATAGGCCAAAACCTGACTAAGGGGGTAGTCAGCAAACTGTAGAAAATAAACATATCACTGATCCTGAGATTGGCTTGGCTTAGCAAAATACCCAAAATCCAGTGAAAATAAGATCAGTCAAGCAAGACGTCGTGTGCTTTAGTCACAAGAAAACACTGTAACATACCGTATTTTTCCATGTATAAGACTGTTTTTTTCTAAATTTTTATTCTAAAGTTGGGGGTTGTCTTATACACTCTTACAGCAATGTCACTGCAGGGGTTAAAAATAAAACACCTAAGTTAAGATGGCGCCTGCTGTATTTCAGTGTGCCACGACCCACACACAAACCTGGTCTCCCTCCCGCCGATCCACTTCTGAATGCTATGTCAAGGAGGAAGAGGTCCCTATATGCGTGGGAGCTTCAGCAGACATCAGCACTTACCACCAATGGAGCTCCAGAGACATGCCACACCATGAAAGGAGCAGCCATATTAAGGTATGCAACACCTCAGGTAGGTCTTCCTTTCTGAATTATATTTTTGGGGAGGAAATGGGGATCAGGGAGCAGAGGGAATATACTGTGATGTCCCAGGATGCCCTCACACTTCTTGCTGTATTGTGGGAGCTGTAGTCTACCAGCATACACTATGGAGCCATTAACGTCACAGAATAGAGTAGCACAGGGGAGGCACGAGAATCAGAAGTGTGTTGTTCTCCTATGAAGTCACCTCTAAAATATCACAGTTGTTCTATTTTCTATGTTTAAAATAATGATTTCTTAATTTTAGGCTCAAAACATAGGGGTCGTCTTATACATAGAGGCGTCTTATACACGGAAAAATATGGTATATGCTAGCTGAGTCAGCGAAACCAGAGAACAGGATAATCAATAAACTTGCACAGATAATGCAACACGCAGGCAAGAACCCTACGGAAAGAAACAGTTAGAAGACCAGTTTTCAAAAGTATAATCAATGGGAGTCAGACTTATGTTCCCGTGAAGTACAGGTGTGAATGCGTACAAGAGACACACAAGAACGCAGAAAGATGCAAGCCACTGATCAAATACAGGAAAGTAAGAGGGAACCGAAAAGGCCAGTGTCAAAAAGTATGCTTGTTCCACTGGTTCAAATCAGGAATCTTGGATAAATTATTGTGACAGTGTATGGATATGAATGTATGTATGTGTAGCTTATTAAGTCTGTGTTACTTGCTAGTTATATAAGTGTGTTGACTAAGTAGGTGGTTGGGCTGGTAGCCATGCATGTGTGAGTGGCTAATAGGTCTGAGTGTTTGACTAGTGGCTGATTTGGTATGAGTGAGTGTTTAATTTAGATAGGTGGGTGTGAGAGTCATTTAAAAATTGTGTCTATTCTTTAACGTTTAGCCCTGGCATCTAGATGCCAGAGAAAAATATAAAGCTGTGGTAAATAGGTCAAATATTGAACAATGGTTACCATGCAAGGCAGCACATAAATAAGCAGTCAACCTCCAAATGTAAAACCTTATTTACTGTTAATTTATAAATAGTTAAATGGAGAAAAAAAAAAGTCTGCAGTAGGAATACATGGGAGTGAGCACTAGGCTTGGGGTTCCTCTTCAGGTAAATGGTCAGAAACCTCCTGGCATCATAACACTACAACAGGCAGTAAAGTAACCCTTTAAGTGAGTTAATAACATTAATATCTTAATCACATTAACACGCTGCCATAATTACAGTAGAAATATTTAATTCAAATCACAAGAAAGAGTAAACATAAGAACTCCAACAATGGTCCTAACACTAACTGCATCATACAATATATATCTGCCAGCTTATAAGAAATAGTATTTGCAGTCAGAAGCTTGCTGAGATAACACTGTCTGTGTCAGTGTGTATCTATGTGTCTATGTATCTGCATGTGTGTGTCTTGTAGGGAGACAATTTGCATGTGTTTCGGTGTGTGCATATGTGTGTGTATGTGTTCTGTGCATAGATCTCAGCATATCACTAACACTACATACAAAGAAACCTCTGTATCAAAACACCAACATTATATATAAACATACCCCTGCATTAAAAAAACAACACTACACACAAATGCACACCAGCTATTAAATGTCAACACAACATACAAAGACACACCTACGTTCACTCACACATATTTTATACAAAAACATGCTTACATTCCACCACTCAAACAATGCTCAGTGCTAAATGCAACAGTGCAAAGATTGGCAAAAGGTAGATCCCTAGCTGGCAATTAATTGTAGGTGTTGTATGATAGATGGGGATTTACATTTTGGACACACTTGCAAAGGGGGACGGGGGCAAAGAAATTATTGCACCCGGGACCCCCTCTACGTCAGTTTTACCACTGAACTGAGCGATTTCTTTGCATATGCTCTCAAGCTAAGTGTAACCAGTGATCATAAGGAATACTTGATCATCATGGGCTTGATAATCACTACTCAATCTGTCTTCTTCAAGCACAAAACCCCTAGGAACAATGCAATGTTCTTGCTTCCATTAGTTATAGTTATAGTGTCACTAAAATATTTCAATATTCACCTTCACATTCCTGTATGAACAACATTTTTTTCTTACTTACAATGAATTTATTTTCTTTTTGCTAATGCAGAATATTATTTTTAAGGTAGTCATTAAATAAATTTGCAATGCAAAGTTTTGTAGGAGACAGTATTAGACAGATGACTGCTATAAAAACTGAAAGCAATGTTTGACTAAAACATGCAGTAAACGACATTTTCAGTCTGGTCCGCTGTTAGTAAACATAATCTTTCCTCAGACTTGTACACCAATCCATGGATTTAGTGGTTTGTCTCCAGGTCTCTGAATGAAAATTTACCTCTCTGGTAAAAAACACAGATGTTGAAAACAGGTCTGAGGTGCTACTCTTCAGAAACAAAATACAGTTGTTGATACTGATCAAAATGTTTCTTTAGACAAGATTAATTGTGTTATTTCCCTAAATGTATTATTTTATTTATAAAATATTTTACCAGGAAAGATACATTGAGATTTCTCTCGTTTTCAAGTATATCCTGGGTCCACAAAACAGTGCATTGATACATTATGGTACAGTAAAATACAAAAACAATATTAATACACAATATATACAAAATGTAACATAGAACAAGTAGGAAATATATAATCAACCATGACACGTGCATTCTGTTTTGAGATATGTAGAGAGGGATCTCTTAAATGACTTTAGGCTTGGGGAAGATTTTAAAGTGTGCGGGAGGTCGTTCCACAATTGCGGCGCTCTGTAGTAGAAGGAGGATCGGGCTGCTTTCTTTTTGTATTGAGGTAGACTAAATAAAGTGCTGGTACTGGATCGGAGGTTATAGGAGGTGGGAACAGCCGAGGAGAGCATTTTGCTCAGGTAGGGTGGGAGTTTCCCAAAAAAGCTCTTAACCCAAGGCTGGAAAGATGATGGGTGCGTCTGGATTCCAGCGACAGCCAGTTTAGTTCTTTTAGCATGTCACAATGGTGGGTCCCGTAATTACATTGTAGCACAAATCATCAGAACGAGTAATACAATGTATTGAGTTTATTAATGTGAGATTGCGGTGCCGATGCATATACTATATCCCTATAATCAATGATTGGCATTAGAATTTGCTGTACAATCTTTTCCTTTACTGTAGGGCTTAGGCAGGATTTATTTCTGTACAGGGCACCTAGTTTTAGATAAAGTTTAGATGCAAGTTTTTCTATGTGGAGGCCAAAAGATAGGTTGGGGTCTAACAACATAACCAAGTATTTGAAAGAGTGGACTGTGGTCAGTGTGCTATTTGAATTTGTTTTGATGGATAGGTGGGAATTGTGTAATTTGTGTAATTTAGGTACTGTTCCAAAAATCATTGTGACAGTTTTGTCAGTGTTTAGAAAGGGTTTGTTTTTTGCGATCCACTTTTCTACCTTTGTAATATGGTCTTGGAGCACAGCCTCAAGCTGCTGTAGATCTGATTTGCTCGCATAGATTACTGTGTCGTCTGTGTACATGTGTACATTTGAGGATTGGCAGACATCAGGCAGATCATTTATAAATAATGTAAATAGTAGGGGTCCGAGAATGGAACCTTTGGGAACACCACCCGTGACTGGGAGAGGGAGTCGCTGTCAGAAATGGACACATATTGCGAGCGATCAGATATATACGATCAAAACCAGGTTAGTGAATAATCACCAATACCTGAGTTTTTGAGTTTGTGCAGTAGAATGTCGTGGTCTACTGTGTCAAAGGCCGTTGCAAAATCAAGGAAAATAGCTCCAGTTAGGTCTCCTTGTTCCATGCCAGTTTGGATGTCATTGCAAACTTTTAAGAGGGCAGTTGTAGTGGAGGGATTCTGGTGAAAGCCCGATTGATCAGGGGTCAGATAGTTTGATTGTTGGTAATTCTCACATAGTTGCGTATGGACACATTTTTGACAATACAGGGAGCAATGATATTGGGCGATAGTTAGAAACCAAAGTAGTGTCACCACTTTTATAGATAAGCACTACTCTTGCAGTCTTCCAAAGTTTGGGTATGGAACCAGACAGCAAGGATTCGTTAATTAGGGTTGCGACGGGTTTAGCAATTGCCGGTACACTGAGCTTCAACAGCATTGCTGGTATTTGTTCAGGTCCGGACTGATTTTTCATTTTTAGATTATTAAGGTGTTTTTTAATGACACTAATTGGTACAGGTCTAAAAATGAACTTGTCTATACTGGATTGTTTCATATATGATACAGTTTGTTTCTAATTTAATTCTCTGGTTACAGTTATTTTTGAATCACCATTTTTTCTTTCCTTATTGATTATAGTTAAGCATAAATCAATCGTTGGAAGAAAACAATCTCTATTTTGGGCGCTGAAAGCTAAATGGCATGGGTGGACTGAATTCACTAAAAACTAGAAACGTTTAACTCTCAGAACCCATTCAGGTTTTACCGCTTTTTTCAATTTATAGTTACAGCTTACAAGACTTCATATCACATAATCTGTTGGTTCTATTTGTTCTCTAATTCCTCATCTAGTTTCCTAAACCATTTCCTTTTTTCCTACCTGCGGTGATCAATATGACCATGATCCATTTGTGAGGACTGCATGTCTCTTATCTGGGCCCACCGTGTTCTCTGTGATGCTGCATGCTCACGTGCAAAGGGTTCTTATAGGCGACTAAATTTGTCGGACCGAATTCAAGTCCAAATGCCAAATTCACTGGACCAAATTTGGCGCACAAATATGATGTTTTTAAACAGTCATAAAACGTTTTCTACCACCCATTGGGCAGCCTCAAGGGTACTGTCATTTCTATTATTGTGGTCCCCCGGCATTCTCTGCAACGCTGCACTCTTACATGCCTCTTATGGGTCACTGAATTTGGATCCAAATGGTGAATTCGCCGATTAAATGTGCCATTCTCTAACAGTCAAAAAAGGTCTTCTTTCACCCATGACTCATAAGGAATTCCAATATGACGTGGGACAATAGAAATTAAACATAGAAACATAGATGTGACGCAGTGGCGGATCCGGGGGGTGGGGGGGAGGGTGGCAACGGGGCAATTCCTCCCCCCCCTGAAATTCTGCCCTGCTGGCTAATGCAATGTTGGCATTGTCCAAGTGCCAGCCCTGCAATGTGCCTTCACAGACCGGAGATCTCCCTCCCCGGTCTGCAGGCACATTGCTGGCAGCTGGCAGGGGAGGGAGAGAGGACCCAGCAACGCTCCGGATCTCGCGAGAGTGAACTCTAGCCCTGGAGCTACGGACTAGAGTTCACTCTTACCACTGAGACCACCAGGGATTCCCCACCAGACCACTAGGGATAGAGAAATGTCCACCCTTCTCCCTCAGTAAAGGTAAGAAGGGAGGGGGGACATTTAAAAAAAGAAAACATTATTAAAAAGCCTCCCTGCCCTCCTTCCCCCCCATACATACACTGCCACACACACACGCAGTGCCCCACAAACACTGCCACCCATACACACACTGCCTCACACACACACACTGCACACCCATAGACACATTGCCCCCCACACACATACACTGCACATGCATACACTGCACACCCATACACACATTGCCCCCCCCACACACACAGCCCCCATACACACATTGCCCCACAGACACATACAGTGCCCTACACACACATACAGTGCTCCCCCATACACACACTGCCCCACACACACTTATACAGTGCTCCCCATACACACACTGCCCCCCCATACACACATTGCCACACATACACACATTGCCTGCCATACACACGTACACTGCCCCCATACACACGTACACTGCCCTCATTCACACATTGCCCCCATACACACACTGCCCCAAACACACATACAGTGCCCCCCATACACACACTGCCCCACACACACATACAGTGCCCCCCATACACACACTGCCCCAAACACACATACACTGCCCCCCATACACACTGCCCCCCACACATACAGTGCCCCCATACACACACACAGTGCCCCCATACACACACACAGTGCCCCCCCATACACACACTGCCCAAAACACACATATACTGCAAGCCTCACACACACACTGCAACTATCACACACACTGCTCCCTAACACACACTGCAACCCTGACATACACTGCCACCCTCACACACTTCACCGCTCAAACACACACACACACTGCACCTTTCACACACACTTCACCCCTCACACATACCACTGCTCCTATGCCCTATATGCCAGCAGATCCCAGGTAAATTGTCAAACTGTTCTTAAACAGTTTGACTACTTACTCTGGGATGGGATCCTGGCACTACTGGCACCATAACTACTACACTGAGCTGTAGTGGTTATTGTGCCTGGAGTATTTCCTTAAATAATCTACAGTGGCCCTCCCGAGATCAGGTTCTGGATCCGCCACTGATGTGACAGCAGATAAGAACCATTCGGCCCATCTAGTCTGCCCAATTTTCTAAATACTTTTATTAGTCCCTGGCCTTATCTTATATCTAGGATAGCCTTATGCTGATCCCACACATGCTTAAACTCATTCACTGTGTTAACCTCTACCACTTCAGCTGGAAGGCTATTACATGCATTCACTGCCCTCTCAGTAAAGAAGTAATTCCTGATATTATTTTTAAACCTTTGCCCCTCTAATTTAAGACTATGTCCTCTTGTTGTGGTAGGTTTTCTTCTTTTAAATATAGTCTCCTCCCTTACTGTGTTGATTCCCTTTATGTATTTAAATGTTTCTATCATATCCCCCCTGTCTCGACTTTCCTCCAAGCTATACATGTTAAGATCCTTTAACCTTTCCTTGTAAGTTTTATCCTGCAATCCATGAACTAGTTTAGTAGCCCTTCTCTGAACTCTCTCTAAAGAGAGTGTTCTGTACAATGGCATGAGCACTTCCCTCTTTGTACTGCGAATACCTCTCCCTATACAACCAAGCATTCTGCTAGCATTTCCTGCCTACCTTTAAGTCATCACGAATAATCACCCCTAAATCCCTTTCCTCAAATGATGAGGTTAGGACTCTATCTAATATTCTGTACTCTGCCCTTGGGTTTTTACGTCCAAGATGCATTATCTTGCACTTATCCACATTAAATGTCAGTTGCCACAACTCTGACCATTTTTCGAGTTTACCTAAATAATTTGCCATTTGGCTTGTCTACCCTGTTACATATCTTAGTATCATCAGCAAAACAACATACCTTACAATCAATACCTTCTGCAATATCACTAATAAAAATATTAAGGAAAATAGGTCCAAGACAGATCCCTGAGGTACCCCACTGGTGACAAGCCCATGCTTTGAATATATTCTGTTAACTACAACCCTCTGCTGCCTGTCACTCAGCCACTGCCTTACCCATTCAACAATATTGGAATCCAAACTTAAAGATTGCAGTTTATTGATAAGCCTTCTATGTGCAACAGTGTCAAAAGCCTTACTGAAACCTAGGTAAGCAATGTCTGCTGCACCACCCTGATCTATAATTTTAGTTACCCAATCAAAAAAATCAATAAGATTAGTTAGGCATGATCTCCCTGAAGTAAACCCATGTTGTCTCTGATCTTGAAATCCACGTGATTTAAGATGTTTACTAATCCTTTCCTTCATTTTCATCTATAAATACTCAACAAAAATATTAATTGAGGCAGCCAGCTAGACCATTTGTCTGATTTGACCTTTGCTGGTTTGATTGTTTATCCATATCTCTCCTGTCCCTGACCTCGGCATTCTCTCTGTCCACCGTTAGTCTGGCCACTCTAAGAACCAGTACACGGAAAGTCTATTTGCTGTTACTTAGTTCTGTACATTTAGGTTCCTCTTTGCTCCTGACAACATTAGATGTTGTGGTTCTAACTTAAACATTCCAGTTCAAATTTCAATTCCTCTACAATTCAGAGTTCAGTAAATTAACCTATTACTGTTTACTCTTCAATGTGGTTTCAAACTTGATTACACTGTGTGACATTGACTTATATTTGATACTAAAGGTTATTTCCAAAGAAAACAACAGATCATTTGTTTAATATTATTGTTCTTAAAGGAACATTTTAGTGTTTGTTCCTGTGCCCCCTTCGCTTCTCTCACAACCATTACCCACCAGCAAATAAAGGGTTTAAAAACGTGTTACTTATTCCAGGGCAGAAATCCCTCGGTGCAGGCTCTGTCTCTGCCTCCTCTGAAGTATCAAGAAAAAAGGGGAAACCACACTTTTATGTTGGTCCTGGTGCTGCCAGACACGAGGCTGGCCAACCTCACTCCAATAGTCAAACAAAGATATGGTCCAGGCACTCAAAGGTCACTTGTACAGCAGATTTATTGGAAAAAACAGAATAGAAAGTACAACATTTCGATCTTTAATGAGACCTTTTTCATTGCACATTGAAACGTTGCACTTTCTATCCTGTTTTTTCCAATAAATCTGCTGTACAAGTTACTCTTGAGTGCCTGGACCATATCTTTGTCTGCCTCCTCTGATGTCAGATACTAGACAGCCACTAGAGGCAGGCTTAACCCTGTAATTTAAACATTGCAGTTTCTCTAAAATCTGCAATGTTTTTGATTGCAGGATAAAGGGGACAGGGATAGTGCACACAGACCACTTTAATGAGAGTAAGTGTTCAGGGTGCCTACAGTGTCCCTTTAATAAAACTATGGATCCTCTGTTAAAGGGGAACTGTCACTTTCCAGGATTTGTAATATTATGTGTACTTATTCCTATATTTAACAAATATGTTCTTGTGAGGTGTGAGCCATACAATTAAATGTAGATATGCAGAACTATTTATCCTGGAACTAGGTGCCTCCATCTTGGCTCCCTGTCAGCGCTTGCTATAAGCTCTGTCTTTTTATCGACCAGTCAGCATTGACAAAGAATGTAGAGAAGAAAACAGCACAAATTATAGGAAATTTTCTGAAATTTTCAATGATTTGTTCTTAATAATGATTTCATTAGAGAACTTCAGAAGAGATACAGTCATACATGTTAGTTCATGGAAAAGAGAGAACTTTGGAATATGGCCTTAAATACCCTAATAAACTGTATTCTGTACAAGAGATTTGAGAACAAACAAAGGTCAGCATCAGAGTTAAACATGACACAATTTAGAAATATTGCCCAATTCTTTTGTACAAACAGACTTTCTGCCTTTCTAATACATTCAACCCTATAACTTGCAGGGCACATTCCAGAACAAATCAAGTTTGCATTAATAAAATTTTGTAAAACAGCTGTTTTGCACATATTGTAAAATAACAGGACAGATGCAATGCAAAGGCATGTGCTCTCTGCTATTCCTTCAATGTTGTATGGGCACATGAACCAGGGTGTACCGCAAAGATTGGGTTAGTTTGTGTGGCATGTTCTGGCTATATAAAAGGTCTAGAATTAAACTAGAGGGTTATCTCAAACTCAAGAAAGAAATGTACTGCTAATCTGTCATCTCCCAAACTGTCAATCCAATCTGTCATATCCTAAACTGTCAATCCTATCTGTCATCCCCCAAACTGTCAATCCAATCTGTCATCTCCCGAACTGTCAATCCTATCTGTCATCTCCCGAACTGTCAATCCAATCTGTCATCTCCCGAATTGTCAATCCTATCTGTCATTTCCCAAACTGTCAATCCAATCTGTCATCTCCTGAACTGTCAATCTAATCTGTCATCCCCCAAACTGTCAATCCAATCTGTCATCTCCTGAACTGTCAATCCTATCTGTCATCTCCCGAACTGTCAATCCAATCTGTCATCTCCCGAACTGTCAATCCAATCTGTCATTTCCTGAACTGTCAATCCTATCTGGCATCCCCCAAACTGTCAATCCAATCTGTCATCTCCTGAACTGTCAATCCTATCTGTCATCCCCCAAACTGTCAATCCAATCTGTCATCTCCTGAACTGTCAATCCTATCTGTCATCCCCCAAACTGTCAATCCAATCTGTCATCTCCTGAACTGTCAATCCTATCTGTCATCCCCCAAACTGTCAATCCAATCTGTCATCTCCTGAACTGTCAATCCTATCTGTCATCCCCCAAACTGTCAACCCAATCTGTCATCTCCCGAACTGTCAATCCTATCTGTCATCCCCCAAACTGTCAACCCAATCTGTCATCTCCCGAACTGTCAATCCAATCTGTCATCTCCTGAATTGTCAATCAGTGTTGATTTGCAGGGTTTTTCCTGATATTATAAGCACCTCCCCTCACCAATCTCGGTAAAAATTCAATGAGTATGATAGATGTGGTTTGAAAATAACATTTGCAGTACTTTCATCACTGTCATATTTATTAAAACAGAGTCTCTTTATACTTATTGGTTTATAAGATCACGTGCTCTAGTAAAACAAGGTAGTACAGTTCTTTTTTTTTTTTATTAATAAAAAAATAAATCTCCCTGTAACAACACCAGAGTATATATATATATATAAAAAAAAAAAACTATAAATAATGTTATGTGCAATTTGTGTGCATTTGATACACAGAAGCAAGACAGTTATAAATAACTCTTTATATCACATCATTAGATTGGCCTCTTTTACATGCTTCAAAACACAATAGCTTGCAGGTGCTTAGCATGAGTTAAATAATTTGAAATATTCATTTTAGTCTTGTAAGTGCACGTGAGAAATAGGGCTTATTTAATAATTGGATGGGGACATATTATATTTCACTGTATCCCTCTCAGCTATACAACACCTGCACTAATCTGTACCAAGTACACCAGAAACACAATACGTTTAATCACACAGGGAAAAGACAAACATCAGAATTCTAATTACCAATATGAAGTTGTATTCTTTATGTCTTTAATTCTACCTGGGATTGTATGGATGTCTTTTCTAAAAGGAATACTCTAAGCTCCATAACCAGTACAGCGTGCCAATGTAAATACTCAAACCGTTTTCACCACTATGGTGGTGGAGGGTTTATCTCTGGAGAGCTAATGAAAGCTCCCAAGTAGGAAGCTCCCCAGGCTGCAGAGAAGTAACAGTGAGTGGCATCTAATGTATCATAGGTTCTTAAATGGTTATAATGGGGAGAAAACAGGATACTCCTGCCACCACAACTATTACATAGCCGTGTAGTGGTCATGGTGCTTGGAGTGCTCTTTTAAGAGTTTGTATTTACAGCACAACTTAATGTTTTATCTCTTCTACATATTGAAATTATATTATAACAATATTAAGTGAGATCTTTTTATATTAGTCTGTTTAATGTTATCTGATTCTTGGCTATTATATAACGACTTTATATAACAAGAAAACCAATACAAGTTGGCTGCAGTATAGATCTCTTCTAAATATTAGATGATATTAAGATGTTTTCAGCCACACGATATCGAGCAGGGATTTCCATATATTCTACCTGGTTCTGGTCTGTTGCACTGTTACGTCCTGATTCGGTGACAGACATTCTGGCGTAGGAGGTGGTCAGCATTTGAATCACAATTCATACCTTGCATCACAGTCATTAGTGTCTGCAGGTACAGTGTCAGATGAAGTGCGAGAACCTGAGCAGGATTCTGTGGAAGAAGATGGTGGCGGCCATGAGGGACACAGATAACAACTCCAAAAATGTCTGGTTAATATTAATATTGTTATAGAATAGTCAAACTGATTGAAAGAGCAGCTCGTGGTAATTCATCTAGCTGTAGATCTAAGGTCCAAATAAAATGCTAGGTAATTTCCAGTTTTTGATTCATTATAGTGAAAAGTCACCTTTGTTACATTTTATGCTATGCTTTATTTATTTACAAAATGCTATCTTTCCATTGTTCTTTGTTAACTCTTCTGACATTACTAGGTCATGTAGAAAAACTTTGGGAATTGTTTACTATGCGTGGCAGATGACACCTTTAATAAAACCAACATAATATGGCACATAGAGGAGGTTATAGCATGTTTCTGCAGGGGTCTCGTTTGACCAGCTTATGGGTTACTTGATGCCAGGGGAGGGCTGGCAGCCTTAGGCCTCAGGGGCAAATCCAGTCAAGTGGCCCATTGCACCAAGAGGAGAGTAAAAACACCTTTCTCATGTGATTGAAAGGGGGTGGGAGGGCAGTCACCTAAACACACACACACACAGACAGACACACTGTTACAGGCATACTGATTCATACAGACATACTGGCACACACACAAACATACTGGCACACAGACAGACATACTGGCACACAGACACACACACAAACTTTACACTTTTAAAGCCATTTTCCTACCTATGCTGGTACCTGCCCTGGGGTCCAGTGTGCTGGCTAGGGTGCTTGGGTGTGGGGGTATGGTTCTGCTTGCTGGCTGTCAAAATGCCTCCTGGCTCAGCCTCTCTCCCGCGGCTAATCGTTTCTGTGGGAGAAAGTGACTCACGGTCTACACTTCCTTCCATGCTGCCATAAAGGGGCCCAGTCAAGCTGTTAAAGAGGCACAGCGCCCGACTGGGCCCCTGCTGAAACATGCTCACTGGGTGGCCCTAAGCCTATGGGCCACCCGATGGGCCCCCCAAAGTGTGTGCAACCGCAATACCTGCAGCAAGGGCCCATGGCGGGAAGCCAGGGGCGTAACAAGGGACCACTGGGCCCCTGTGCAAGTATGAAAGTAGGGCCCCCTTGTTACTCCACCCTGTGCATATTCTCGCTCCTTGTCACTCCCCACTAAGCATTACACATGGTTGAAGTGTGTGTGGTTTCTTTGTGTGATTGTACTGTTGGTGAGTGAGTGTTGCATGTATGTGTGTAGCTGGATGAGTGTGATTGTGTGGGTGTGTGAGGGCTGGCTGAGTGTGATTGTATTTGTCGCTGTTTGAGAGGGAGAGGGGGATAAAGAGTGCCAGAGAAGGCAGCGAGGGAGGGAGAGCGGCACACATAGAAAAGGAGAGCCAGAGACAGAAAGCCAAAGGGAGACAGAGCTACACATGTAAAGAAATAGAGAGACTGAAAGGGGGGAGAGACAGAGAGTGACACAAGAAAAGGGGAGCCTGAGACAGCTAAAAAACTAGAGAGACAGAGAGTGACACAAGGAAAGGGGAGCCTGAGACAGCTAAAAAACTAGAGAGACAGAGAGTGACACAAGGAAAGGGGAGCCTGAGACAGCTAAAAAACTAGAGAGACAGAGAGTGACACAAGGAAAGGGGAGCCTGAGACAGCTAAAAAACTAGAGAGACAGAGAGTGACACAAGGAAAGGAGAGACTGAGACAGCTAAAAACTAGAGAGACAGAGAGTGACACAAGGAAAGGAGAGACTGAGACAGCTAAAAACTAGAGAGACAGAGAGTGACACAAGGAAAGGGGAGCCTGAGACAGCTAAAAAACTAGAGAGACAGAGAGTGACACAAGAAAAGGAGAGACTGAGACAGCTAAAAACTAGAGAGAGACAGAAAGGAGGTGAGACACACAGAACGAAATAGAGCCAGGAAGAGACAGCCTCATATGTATGCAGGGAGAGGTGAGGTAGAGTATTTCACTCACCTTGATCCAATGTGCCACTGCTGCAGGCTAGGACAGGGCTTTCTGGGGGCCTTAGCACTGCTGGGCTTGCTCTGAGCTCCCCTGTGCAGTATGAGTGCTGGCACCCTTGGAACTGAGGGAGGGACCCTGCAGGCAGGATATGGAGGCAGCTCTGCCAGAACTCTGCCCAAGAAGAGGTGAGGGGAAGGCATTGAGTTCTGGCATGTGTGCTAGCTGTGCCACAGCGGCACACACAAATAATGAAGATAGCGGGATAATCCATCTGCACTCCACTCTGCCACTTAGTGAGGTTAGGGGGAGCCCCTGCTTGTTGCACCCTAATTGTAATGGGCGTCCGCAGGAATTTTTGTAATTGTAATGGCATCCATGCTTAGCCCCTATTTGACAGTGTCATGAAGGGGAGGAGCATAGTCATTATCACATAATACCAGGGTGAACAGCGTTTTCACAACTACTGTGTCAGGAATACATGTTTGTATTCCTGACACTATAGTGTTCCTTTAAGCAAATTAAAGGAACATTCTGGTCACCATAACAACTTCATCTAAATGAAAATGCTATAAGATGCCAGGAGGCACCTCTGGGCGCTCTCTTTCCTTTAAGGGGTTAAACCGCTCTCAAATTGTTTAACCCCAAAGGCTTCCTCCAGCTCCAGATCTCCAGGTCGCTCAGTGGTATTCGTCTTCTGAAACGGAGTGTCAGGAAGTGCAGATTGACGTCAGGCATGGGCGCCGCTGATTGGCTAGAGTGGTCAGTTGACGCTCTAAGCCAATCTCTAGTTCTGATATGTTTTTTACCTGGGGAGATGAGAAGGTCCAAAGTTTCCTGCCAGGCCCAGGTACCAAAGCCTTATGATGTGGTGTCCAGATTGAAGTGGAGGGATCACTTCACTTGTCCTTCCTGCTCCAATCTCATTTTCTTCTCCATTTGATACAGTCTTCTTTTTCTTCTAACACTGTCTTCCCTCCTCCTTGGCTCCTTCTGCTCCTTTACCTTTCTGCTACTTTCTGCTTATTTTGCACCCTTCTGTTTCTTTCTCTTTCTGATCCCCTTCTGCTCCTTGCAGACCCTTCCTTCTCCTTGCAGGCCCTTCCCACCCCTTGCAGACCCTTCCTACTCCTTGCTGACCCCTCCTGCTCCTTGCTGCCCCCTTCCTGCTCCTTGCTACCCCTTCCTGCTCATTGCAGACCCTTTCTGCTCCTTGCATACCCTTCCTACTCCTTGCTGCTTCTTCCTACTCCTTGCTGACCCCTCCTACCTCTTGCAGACCCTTCCTACTCCTTGCTGACCCCTTCTGCTCCTTGCTGCCCCTTCCGCTCCTTGCTGCCCCTTCCTACTCCTTGCTGCCCCTTCCTACTCCTTGCTGACCCCTCCTGCCCCTTGCAGACCCTTCCTGCTCCCGGCTGACCCCTCCTGCTCCTTGCTGCGCCTTCCTGCTTCTTGCTGACCCTTCCTGCTCATTTCTGCTCCTTCTACTACACCCTCCTGCTCCTTGTAAACCTTTCCTACCCCTTCCTGCTTCTTGCTGCCCCTTATGCTCTTCCTATTCCTTGCTGATCCCCCCTGCCCCTTGCAGAACCTTTCTGCTCGTTTCTGCTCCTTCTACATTACCTTCTTGTAGGGTGTCTCCCCCCTCATCCCTCACTTACCTGATCTGTAGGTTGCCCCCCTCATGCTTGCTGGCTCCACTCTGTGCTGCTCCCCTGCGGATGCAGTTAGGAGAAAGAAGCAGGGATAAGCTGTAGCTTCCTATCCCTGCCTTTCTCCATTCACAGCGCTACTGGCCGGCACCGGTATTGCAGTTTATTATCACACAAACTGAAAAATGGGGGGGGGGCCCTTGCGGACGTCCATGACCCTAACTGCCTTTTTTCAGCTCTCTAATGTAATATGGCGGTGTGATGTCCTGCGAGGGAAGGAGATGTCTGTAAACATCATATCCTGCTCTCTATATCTACATACTGTGTACCTCATACTCAAGAGAGTCCTTTCAGAACAGTCCTCCATCTCAAGACACGTACTGCCAGGCTACATGAAACATTTATTCAGGAATGCCTGTGTGTGTGGGGGGGGTGTATCTGTGAGTTTGTGTGTATGTAAGTGTGCGTGTGACCTTACGGACTGTCGTATAGGATCTTCTTCCACTACCTGGTCTGACAGCAAGGAACAGCTCCCTGTCAGAGCAGGCAGAGGAAGATCTACTTTGGTCTGTAAGACCATGCTACTGAGAGTGACCAGTGGTCTGACTTATAGTGTCTGGTATTCTCTGGGCTCAGCCTATTACTGCTTGGGTACATTAACATCGGAGTCACAACATGAAGGGTGAGTCTGGTGGGTGCCACTCCGAAAAGCCCCAGTCACAATATGAGCCTTCAACCTGTGCCCTTGGTTCCGGCACCATTTGGAGCCAACAATGGGGGTTTTGGATATGATATTCCATCCAGGCTTATGGCAGTGGCTCGAGGGATAACTTCTGGGGGCTCAAAGCCCAGGAAGGCAGGTGTAGGGACCATTCTCAATCACCCAGTACGGAGGTACGAAATGGGGGACTGAAATCCAGTAATAAGAGTTGTAACCAGCAGACGCCAGAGCTCAAAAATGCATCCGTGAACAGGCAGTGGAGCTTCACCCATTGTAGGCCGCATAGTCACCATTTTGTTGGTCTGTTGCGGGTATCCGACTGCTGGGTGGGCTTGGGAGTGTCAAAGAGCTGTTGTATGGCAGTTAGGCTTATGAGCAGGGCAGCAGCCGTCTGGCCCACTCCGCTCCCGAATAGGCCACAGGTTCCAAAGTTTGAGAACACCCATTTGGTCCTCAAATCTTCTGACTACTACCAACAACTAGGCTCACACTTAGTGAGTTCACACATCATAGATGGTAGCAGTAATCCTGGAATTTCTGCATAAAAAGGCCAGATTCTGCAATCTGGTCTTTTGCACCCCCAGCCCCCTAGCCCCCTCCCCACGTTTATCTTACAGAGATTAGGGTTAAAGGAACACTATAGAGTCAGGAAAACAAACATGTATTCCTAACCCTATAGTGTTAAAACTACCATCTAGCCCCCCTGGAATCCCCTTGCCTCTCTAAATATAGTTAAGTCTTACTTGTATTCAAGTCTGAAGCTGCTGGCTCTGCCCCTGAACTGCCTCTGTCTGCTGACATAATCAGAAGTGGTGGTCTGAGCCAATCACAATGCTTCCCCATAGGATTTGCTGAGACTGTCAAGGAGGCAGATTAGGGGAAGAGTTAGCACAAGTCAAACACAGCCCTGACCAATCAGCATCTCCTCACAGAGATGAATTGAATCAATGCATCTCTACAACCTAACTTTCAAGGACATATAATTTTCTAGTTTATCCTGTTATCCCTGTAACATAATCACTAACAGACTGTGTCTTCCCTAACAACATACACTGCTCAAAAAAAATAAAGGGAACACAAAAATAACACATCCTAGATCTGAATGAATTAAATATTCTTCTGAAATACTTTCTTTACACATTGAATGTGCTGACAACAAAATCACACAAAAATTAAAAAATGGAAATCAAATTTTTCAACCCATGGAATTTGCCAATCTTGGTGTTCTCTGGCAAATGCCAAACGTCCTGCACGGTGTTGGGCTGTAAGCACAACCCCACCTGTGGACGTCGGGCCCTCATACCACCCTCATGGAGTCTGTTTCTGACCGTTTGAGCAGACACATGCACATTTGTGGCCTGCTGGAGGTCATTTTGCAGAGCTCTGGCAGTGCTCCTCCTGTTCCTCCTTGCACAAAGGCGGAGGTAGCGGACCTGCTGCTGAGTTGTTGCCCTCTAACAGCCACCTCCACGTCTCCTGATGTACTGGCCTGTCTCCTGGTAGCGCCTCCATGCTCTGGACACTACGCTGACAAGCACAGCAAACCTTCTTGCCACAGCTCGCATTGATGTGCCATCCTGGATGAGCTGCACTACCTGAGCCACTTGTGTGGGTTGTAGACTCTGTCTCATGCTACCACTAGAGTGAAAGCACCGCCAGCATTCAAAAGTGACCAAAACATCAGCCAGGAAGCATAGGAACTGAGAAGTGGTCTGTGGTCACCACCTGCAGAACCACTCCTTTATTGGGGGTGTCTTGCTAATTGCCTATAATTTCCACCTATTGTCTATCCCATTTGCACAACAGCATGTGAAACTGATTGTCACTCAGTGTTGCTTCCTAAGTGGACAGTTTGATTTCACAGAAGTGTGATTGACTTGGAGTTACATTGTGTTGTTTAAGTGTTCCCTTTATTTTTGAGCAGTGTATTTTGATGGCACTATAACAGAACCCTTTATTTAAAGGATCACTATAGGGTCAGGAACACAAACATGTATTCCCGACCCTATAGTGTTAAAACCAACATCTAGCCCCCCTGGGTCCCTCATGCCTCCATAAATATAGTAAAAATCTTACTGTATTCAATCCTGAAGTTGTAACTCTGCATGGTGTTAGACTCAAACAAGCAGTCTGTTGACATCATCAGAAGTGGTGGCCTGATCCAATCACAATGCTTCCCCATAGGATTGGCTGAGACTGACAAGGAGGCAGATCAGGGGCAGAGCCAGCATGATTCAAACACAGCCCTGACCTCAGAGATTAATTGAATCAATGCATCTCTATGAGGAAACTTCAGTGTCTGCATGCAGAGAATGGAGATACTGAATGTCAGTGCTGATTACTCTGCAGCACTGCCCAAGGAAGCCCAAGGAAGCACCACTGGCAGCCATCTGAGGAGTAGCCAGTGAAGTTATCACTAGGCTGTAATGTAAACACTGCATTTTCTCTGAAAAGACTGTGTTTACAGCAAAAAGCCTGAAGGTAATGATTCTACTCACCACAACAAATTCAATAAACTGTAGTTGTTTTGGTGACTATAGTGTCCCTTTAATATAGCTCCTGTGTTAAAGCTCATACCACATACACAAATATTAATTATGAGTCCTAAATTTAGGAGCTGTCATTTCTACGTTCATGTTCCTTTTAGCATTTTTCTCAGTAATCCAGCACCAAAACAGTTAACACATTAAATATGAAGACAAACAAAATGTAGTACAGAACATAATTGCAATGCTCCCTTTTCTAAATGTGTTTCCATCTTCCTTGTATTCTCTTTTTCCAGATTTCACAGATCTGAATAATTGAAATAACAGGAACTAAGTCTCATTCAACTCTTAGTCAAACCTTTAAAGGGACACTAGTCACCTGAACAACTTTAGCTTAATGAAGCAGTTTTGGTGTATAGAACATGCCCCTGCAGCCTCACTGCTCAATCCTCTGCCATTTAGGAGTTAAATCCCTTTGTTTATGAACCCTAGTCACACCTCCCTGCATGTGACTTGCACAGCCTTCCATAAACACTTCCTGTAAAGAGAGCCCTATTTAGGCTTTCTTTATTGCAAGTTCTGTTTAATTAAGATTGTCTTATCCCCTGCTATGTTAATTGCTTGCTAGACCTTGCAAGAGCCTCCTGTATGTGATTAAAGTTCAATTTAGAGATTGAGATACAATT